TAAAGACAAGCTCAAGCCGTTTTGTTCCCAGGTTTGACAGATCTGAGATTCACAAACAGAAGAGACAGCCGCCACGGTAGTGAGACAGCTTGGAGTGTGGAAGAGGAGGCAGGTATTTCCCAGCGTCAATTCAGAGCTGGATACCTGACCCTCTGCTCTTGTCAATATTTCCAATGACAGGCTCTTTGCGTTGCAGCAGCGTCAGCCTGTCTGTCCACAGTCTTCTGATGGTAAAGTTGACTATCTGCAGGAGAAGTGTCAGAAAGGTTGTTTTCAGGCTTCTATCAGTTTGACAAAAAGACATGAGGTCTTGACCCTTCGCTCGTGTCTATACTGTAGCTCTGTTTGAGTACGTTATTGTTGACGGAAACATCTCAAATTCTTGTCGTACATGGATTGAGGAAAATTGCAATATAAATTAAAAAAAACTTGTTTTATTAAGAATGGTAATGAGACTATTTACTTCAATGTATTGTTTTAAAATGTGAAATAATATCTTCAGTATGATGCATACGGAGAAACAACAAGTCCTGGCACCAGACAATGGGGGACTTCTGTACATTTTTTAGTGATTTTCTATAGAGAAACTGGAGCACCCGGAGAAAACCTGTGAACCGCTACACCACTGTGCCGCCCAAATAATGCTATCAACCTGTGCTATCCCAATGCAACCTCGAGAGAGATGTGTAGAATTTATACAAATCCAAATTTACTGGCTACACACTGGCATAGTCTTGCACAGATTTTCCAATGTGTTTTTACGGAAAATGGCAATTACATTCTTGAATCTTGAATCTACAATCACTGTCATGCACAAGAAAAGACTGTTTTTTCAATTGAGAAAATAATGTATGGGCACTACTTTTGTCCCATCATAATATTAAAGGACTGAGACAGGAGGTTTTAGGCAGAAGTGACGGATTTACAGATTAGCGTGGATGGATCTGTTTTAGGACAAAAAAAAAAGTTGATTTTGCATAATACATCTCCTTCTCCTAAGCATGGAGGGCAGAGCAGGAGCGGGTTTTGTGCAGGCTTGTCGGCGTCACAGCGCTCCACGGAGAATCGTTCGCCACAAATATGTAATCTGCCTGTGGTGCAGCTTCGATGTCAATAGCTTGTGTGTCCAACATCTTTAAGCTGCTCTGACCCCAAGAGGACCGCAAACACAGACATGGCTACAGGGCATCTGTTTTTCTGCGTGTGCTTTTATCCCGCTGTACGTGACAGGGTGACAAATACTGTATGTGACAATACAAGCAGTTTCTCACATCTTGTTATGTTGGAACGTTTAAATATGTAAAAAGAAATTTTAAGTCTATGAGAATCACAGCCGCCAAATAGAATCATCTCAGAATTTTCTCGCCATCCTCTGCGTGAATAGCTCTCAATGTAATTTAGCTGAAAGGAGAGGCAAGGATGTGCAAGTCACAAAGAAACAGACAGGTGCAGGAGAGTGAGATAAGAGGCTTCTTCAAAAACACAGGAAAGAAAGAAGAGGTCCTTCAGAGAGGCACTGTGGTACAAAGTCTAAATAGTGAATGAAATGGATACGCTAAACAGGCAACATTGTGAATATGCAACCCACCAAAGGGCAAAGTACAGAAATTGAGTTGGAGAAGAGAATTTCTAGCTAAGAGGGAACTGCATAATACATTTGAATGGTAAGTCCTGTGTGGGATTGTAGCAAGTTAATGAATTAAACACAACTAATAAAATGACTGCAGAGTGAAATTAAAATATGTTTACAACGTTTTTTTAACCAAACAGCCCAAAGAGTCATGTCAATCATGTTCTCCAGGGGAATCACTTGAGCTTTGTTTTGGTCAAATACAAAAATCCTTTATACAGTAGCTCAGTTGGTAGAGCATTGGCCTTTGAGCCTGAAGGTCGTGGGTTCAAGCCCACCGTAAGACCTACTTCACGACTCCCACTGGTGACTGCTGTTGTTGTGTCCTTAGGCAAGACACTTAACCCCACTTTGCCTGAAGCTCCCACTGAAAGATCTCAGCTCCTGTGGACTCACCACCTGCAGGAGGATCAGTGAGGGGCTGGTGCTCTGTGAACTGGGTGCAGCTCTGGCCACCCCCCCGACCCAGAAATGGATTAAGGGGAAGAAAATGGATGGATGGATGGATAAAAATCCTTTATTCACTGACCTTTCTGGTTCCAAACATCCAAAGAATATTCAGCCGATTAATTGATTATCAAAGTAGTCGTTACTTACTTGTTAACGTCAATAGGAAGTAAAACATTTTTTAATAGAAACAATATACAACTGCCCTTTTGCAAGTTTGTAAATGTAATTCTATATTGTTTGTTTTTTATAATGGCTCTCCTTGAGGTCGTACACATGTATAAGGATTCTTCATTGTAGGGTTGCATAATTACAATAAAAGAATTTCATTAAAAAAAGTATGTATGTAAATATATTAGTCACTATTTTTAGTACCCCCATATACATACACAGGGTGATCGTAGCAAAATATACAATGTTATGATCAGTAAGTAAAAAGCTTATTGAAAGCCTTGTTATATTGTTATGAAGAGAAGAGAGTGTATTCAAACACTGACACTCAATGTCCTTAAGACCAGAGCAATAAGTCTTTAGTTTACTCCTAAATGAGCTCATTGTCAGATCACATGCGATGTCATTAGGCAGAACATTGCATTTACAAAGAGCATATTGAGAGAAAGTAAGAAGGCTTAGGTCCGAGGAGCTTACCTTACTAGCCCACACAAGAAACAATATCATGACCTTATGCTGGTGTAATTATGATTTTTCCTGGGCTCAGTTTTGAGGTGTGGATGTTTGCTGCTGGGGTGAGGACGGGTCAGGTTAAGCTGTCGGTGTCTCTCGCCGCTGGAGCGTGAAAAGAAAAACACTGGAAAACGTCTAAGCCTGTGTGTGCCTCCGGATACGGGAAAATGTCAGGCGTAGAGGCAGCCAGATAAATGTTTCTTGTCCCTCCTCAGCTCCCGTCTCTCACCTCAGGCCTTTTATGACAAGCACGATAACAGGACAAACCCGCGCCCCTAACCATGAAATATGAGGAGAGTGGATTGACTGTGTATTAGCATGCTGAAAGTGCACAGAGGCGGGACTTAGCAGGTAATAAATGACACATAGTTACAGTCTAATAAGGAGATGATGAGTTCCTTCAACCAAGCGGAGAAAACCTGACTCCCGTTAGCTTCCAGTTATGCATTACTCACTGTGGTTGGTGTATTTGGTGACAACAAAGTGCGATGTGGCTCACACAGCGATGCACTTTGCCGTATGTGTCAGTTTTACAAGTATAGTGAGTCAAGGTGATTCAGATCAGTTCTCATTGCAAATTAACTTTTCAAATGAAGGAGAACATGTAAACTCTACACAGATAGGTGGAGTCAAACCCAGGACCTTCTTTCTGAGAGGCACAAGTGCTAACCCAAGTTGTCCCACTTTAAAGAGTATGTATTCTCTCATGCCTCTGCTGGATCATTCAGAGGATTACTGTGATGATCATCCCATAAACACCATACCCACTGTGAAGCATGGGGGTGGAAACACTATGGTTTGGGGCTGCTATTCTGCAAAGGTAATAGGATGACTGATGAAAAAAAGAAGGGGAATAAAAACCCTCTTCCATCAGTGTCAGCATTGAAAATGAAACATGGCTGGCTCTTCCAGTATGACAATGACACCAAACACACGCCCTGACAATGAAGGAGCGGCCAATCGTCCAAATCTCAACCCAACAGAAAATCAGTGGACTTAGTTCCGGGTCTGTGGTGTTTTGACAGCCCCAAAACATCACAGCCTGAGATAAGGTCTGCAAGATAGTATGGGTCAAAATACCAACTACAGTGTGTGCAAATCTGGTGAAGGCCTATGAGAAACCTCAGTCATTTCTAATAAAGGTTAAATTACAAAGTATTGAGTTAAATATTTGTTATTGTCACATTTCTTTCTGATGTACTGAGTTCTGTCACTCACAGTTGTAGTCACTAAGAAACTCAAGGAAAATGAAAGAATTGTCAACTGCCAATTCCTTTTTGCCCCATTGTAGATTCCACAATTATTGTTCACTTTTACAGTAGATATATTCTGTAAATTGCTCATGTTTGCTGTTTAACCATTTGGGCTGTAGTTTCAGATGAAGGAGGAGAGTAGACACTAGACAGTTGTTTAAAGTTTCAGGAGATCAGTGGCCCAAAAAAAACGAAAGTATACATTTCTCTAAGGTTCCTGGTTTTAAATGGTCTGACCACAGCTAATACGTTTTATCTTCAGATGTGATTTCTGAATTGACTCACTGAGGCATCAGCACAGAGATGTGGCACTAGAGTGGGTATGTGTATGTCCCACTGAATCTTTTATATACCAACATGTTTACATATCACTTTCAAAACAGATGAGATCCTCAAGGATTGGGACTTATCTAGTCACTTTGTCAACATACTGAAAGATTTATTTTCATTTCCCAACACAAAGCTTCTGGGTTTAAATGCAGAAGTAGACAAGCAAGGCGTTTCATATAAACCAGTTGTTTAAATCCCTATATTTTTATAATAGGTGTATTGGTTATAAAGGTTAGAAATAAAGTACTGTGCACACTTTCTGTATTATATTATACAGTGTCACATACAGATGTAAAACTGTTATTTGACTTTTATTAGATGCTGCTAAGAGTTCTCACCAGAGCACCAGCGGGTTGTCAGTGTGCCGTTTGAGGCTTTTGTCCTTGAGGCACGTTATCAAACTTGCAACAGAAGCCGAACAGTGGAGGAATTGTCAATCACATGCAGAGGATGGAGAGGGAGCGGGAGCTTAGATTGACAGATGGAGAACAGGCGGAGGCTGAGGTCTGCTCCGAGTGCACAATCTTTGTCAGGCATTGCAGAATAGAGGAAAGATGATTGTTAATTTAAGGGTTAAGGATTTATTGGACACAATTATACCAAGTACAGGGCTGCAGTTCTCGGCTGTTGTATAAAAGAGACATCTCGAGTGCAGAATGATTTATGGAGGTGATTAAAGTGCCTTTCCATGCGCTGAGTTAAAGTCATTAGACAGAATATATGTCAACTGGTTTCTTTAGAAACAATACACAGATAGGGAAGTACACGTTACATTTCTCACAGGGTAAGTTAAGTTGCAGCTATTAAACTTTGATGAGGCAGTTAGAGAAATGTGTGTAATAGTAGGACATTGATATGTTCATGCACTCATGGTCAAAGATATAAAACTCAGCAGCTGAGGTACAAGAATAGATGTTTTGAATTGCATAAGTGAGTGCAATAAGGATAGATATATAGATAATATGTGGACAATAGCCAAGTCAAGGCACGGTATAGCACAATTTATACACAACGAAAACTATAGAGACGAGGCATTCAAATGATAAATAATCACACTAAGTCAAAAGGAGTGAAGATTCAATGCAGTTGTTTCAAAATGACAGCGTATTCAGTGTGCCAATGATTTATGTTATAAATGTTATACTTTTACAATAAACCTTAAGTCGGGGAGAATCGTTTTAACCATTTTAAGAGCAAAAAGTAAGGTAAATAAAGTAAAATGCCTTCTATGTGTTTCCTTCTGTTGTGGTGTTTAGCTTGCACAGACACAGAGCTGCACAGCCTGGCAGCGCGGCTGAAGGACTGGTTTGGAGTTCTGCACCAGGACGCCAACAGAGACCTGAAATCCTCCGACAGCGTGGATTCTGCAAACGGACGTGAGTTTGTTTTTGCTCTGATGCAGGGGTGCCCAACTTTTTCTGACCCAAGGTCTACTTTTTAATTAGCAAACCTCCAAAGGTCTGTTACAATCAACACTTCTTCACACAACCATTAGACATCAGATTACTAACTTTCTGTTGTTATTTTGAACTCTTTGCTCACAATCTTACATAAAAACAAACAAAATCTGCATTTTGAGTAGTAACTAACTAACTGACCAAATTATAAACCAAGCAGAAAAATGAACCAGTTCAAAACCAGGTAATAGAAATGTTACGCCTGTAACTACAGTTCTATGAATCAGACATCCAAAAGCAGTGCACCACTGAATAATAACGCATAAAACACCTGCTCTGGTGGACAGGGGTAAATAAATAGAACTGACAAAAGGAAGATCTCTTCCTACCTTAGTGAGAGACTTTACACTGGGAGGAGGCTAGTTTCTTATGGTCCGGACTACTGAATCGCTGCTAAACTTTAGCATGGCGGAGGGGAAACGAGCCAAAACTTATTATGTTCATACTCAAAGCCTATTTGTCTGATCTGGCATTGGCAAAGAAATTGAACCTGGAGCGTCATTTTTGAACGGTACACGCAAGCTAGGAGAGGGATTTTGTGAAGAAAGCTGGCCTTTCAAATCCCTCGCTTTGGTGGCGCGCAGTGCCGTTTTTGCGGGGAAATCCCTCTCCTAGCTTGCGTGTACCGTTCGAAAATGACGCTCCAGGTTGGCTTTCTTTGCCAATGCCACCGACGAATTGCAGATCAGACAAATAGGCTTTGAGTAAACTCATTAGACCAAATTAATAATAGGCTATTTTATTTATTTTTTCCAGCCATGATTGAGAAGGCTACTATTTTAAACTACCTCAATGTGCTTATAGAAGTGTGTAAATGCTACGCAAATGCCAATGCTCTACCTCACACACAATGTGTTTTGATCTCGCACACGTGTAGAGGTGTCGTATCCAACTTCAAAGGTGCTGGAACATGCCGTGGCCAGTTCCGGCTCAGATGAAGCACTGCTTGTAGCGCAGATGCAGTGTGGGGCCCGTGGTTCAACAGAGTGGTTCTTCTTCAGTGCAATTCTCCCGACAAACACAGAGCTCGGGCTTAGGTCACTGTCCCTCCACACTTCCCACTCTCTCCTCCTCTGAGCCCAGATTTTTCAGCAATATCACAAACCTACACTTTTTTTTATTAATGACTTTTTATTCAATTAATTTATAAATAATTTCCTCATTTCAATGGAACAAAACAATAGCTTTCAAATGTGTATGTAACTATCAATGATTTCTGGCTTTGATCAACAGCCATGACTGCCTGTTGTAATAACTTTGCATATTAATGACTATTATGAATATTCATTTCAAAATTAGGGCTATTAGGGCTGTCCACTCATTCATAAATACCACACTCACTTTGCTGGACGGACATTTTTGACCTGGCATTTTTCCCCGCAATGTTGGTAAATAAGGCCCAGTGTGTGTGGACATAGCTTGGGCTTTCTTGACAAACTTCCAATGAGTCTCTCTATTTGGATTTCTGAGCCAATCAGGAGCAACAGAGGAGCCCAGGAGCTGTCCGTCTCTATTATCCAAAGAGGAGTTATGCAGCCTAAATGTCCATAGCGGCGAAATACAGAACACAACTCAGTCTCTTCTCAGCAGCAATCATTACAACAGTCTGTAAGGACCAGACTTCGCACCCGTATCATCATCCCCCGCAGTGAACGACTCTCCTGTGGTCTCGAACTCAGAGACTTTCATGCTCATATCAAACAAAAGATTCATGTTGAGCATTAAAACACAAACATGTATGACTTGTTTCACAGGGATCAAGGACTTGTTCTATTTCTAATGCGTTTCAACCTGCAGTCCGGCGTTCTTCCACAAACTCGACCCGAATCATTTCCTTTGGCACACAGCAGTTAGTAAGATGTCCACTCCACTCCTTTTTACGCTCTGAAACACGTCTGCAAAACAGACAAGCGCATCCAATCAGAGAGCTGCTTTTGGAATTCACCGACTCATCGATATTTTCCTCAGCAGACTTTATTTGCCACAACATACTGCTTTAACAAAATACTTTCCCATTTGTAAAGCAGCTGTTGTTCACAAACACTGCTGTAAGAGTGAGGCTGGAGGCTGCCCTGATGGAGCAGCAGATATGTCTGATTACGGGGCTCACATCTCTTCCATCAGTCGTCGCGTGGATGAGTGCAGATAAGTCATCATGTGATTACACAAGCGAGATACTTGTGGAACAAAGAGTGCGCTCTGGAGGATGAAAATTTCACGTGTGAGGGCTTGAAATAGTCCCCAATAAGGAGTTTCATATTTCACAAATTCACTACAAAACACGCCAACATGAAACATCAAAAGATTCAGTTAGATCTAGAACTATCCATGGAATAACCGTGACTCCACAAAACCTGTTTTTTTTTGTTATGTTGACACAAAGTTTTAATATTACATAATCATACTTGAGATATGGTATGATATGTTTATATTCAAATACAAACCAGCCACTTTATTGGCTAATGGTTAGGATTGGTCTTTGGGAAGTGAATGCATTGTCAGCATGGGAATTGGGAATTAAATTTACCCAAATCCTTCCTTTGAGCAGAAAAAATTTAATTTTGCCAGTCAAAGGGCTGAATAATGTGTGAATAAAAGGTGTATTTACATACTGACGTAGGTAAAAGCATTATAATGTCTGAAATGATTTCTGCTTGTTTGAGCAAATGTAATGATGTTGTATCTGCTGCAGACTTTGACACGAGCATCCTGCCCATCTGCAAGGATTCTCTGGGATGGATGTTCAACAAACTGGACATGAACTTTGATCTCCTGCTGGACCAGTCCGAGCTGAGTGCCATCTACCTAGACAAGTACGAGCTGTGCATGAAGCCGCTCTTCAACTCCTGCGACTCTTTCAAGGACGGAAAACTGTCCAACAACGAGTGGTGCTTCTGCTTTCAGAAACCTCCAGGTGACGCAGGCAGATACAGCACACACAGCTTTATGTGGCTTTAAATGGCCCTTTAGTGTTGTCATGTTTGTAATGTCTGTTCAGTGTTGGGGCCAAGCTCCGGCGATCCAATATGGCGCCCTATCTCTAATCAATGACTTGTGCTCAGTAGCGAATGGCACCTACATGGACACAGGATTTAACATGAAAAAAGTTTCGGATGACAAGGGACACAAAAATTCTCAAAAAAACCCAACCGGGCTGTAGGTCGAGCTGTTTTAGTTTACGTTGACTTCCATGGGACAGTTTTCTGGGTAGCCCTCGTGAATTTAGTCTGCAGTACCGCGGGCGCCCCCTGTGCCCGTGGGTGTGACAGCTATAAGCTAATAATACCCTATCAATATATTATTATTGATCAATGGTTGGGACTGGGGCAAGTGAATAGTTTGACAATTCAATTGGCTGCCTCCACATTATCTCAGGCAATATAGACATGTTATCCTTCTCTTTAAAGCTCAGAAATCTGCAGAAATCACTTGTGATATGATCCACTCATCTAATATCTACTCATCTAAAATATTATGCTAACACTCGCCCAAAGCAGAGATCATAAACACAAGTTCACGCTGTCATATGTATCATAAAGTTAAAATATAGTGATGCTATTGCCTTCCAAATATAAATCAAAATGTTTCTGTCATACAAAATATTAAAGCCTTAAACAAGCTTCTGAGCCATCAAATGTCTGAGTAAAGAAACAAAATAATTGTTTTAATAGAATCATATTTTCCAGTTGTTTCCAATTATAAAAAGCTATAAAGAAATGTTTCCAAGTTCTGTGAAGGGCTCCCAGACCAGACATATACAGCAGTGAGACTAACAGAAGTATTATTTATTTGCCTTAAATGCATCGACCGTCACCAGGGAGATATAATCTAGGTATATAGCCTGAGTATTTTATTCTAATGTCTTTTAAACGGCCCCTTCCCAGACACCAGAGATGTTTCTCCTTGTCCATTAAGGCGCCTGCTTCAGATTGCACCGCTCTAATGTTGGTGTTAATGACCTAATCCAAGAAAAGTCCACTTTTATCGGAAATTATTGAAGCAAGGCATCGATTCAGAGCAGAGTCTAAGGAATATGCAGCCCATTATTTAGAATCAATGAAATGTTTCTTGGGGTGAGGAGTCATGACAGACTGTTAATTGTGTTTTGTTCTCCCCGCAGGCCTGCCCTGCCAAACAGAGAAGAGCAAGATTCAAAATCAGAGTCGAAAAAAGAGCCTCATAGGTCAGTATTGCTTTAACCCACTTAACATTTAAAGAACGTTGTGTTGCAGCGCTAAGTAAACGACAAATTCACACACTATAAAACACACTGACATTTTGTTCTGGTGTCACGAGTTCCCACCGGGTGCATCGTTATAAAACGGCTTGAAGAACGAGCTGCACGTGGGTCAGCTCGAGGCAGAGCTGTGCAGCCATGTGTCCAGCTTTGTGTTTGATATTGAAAGTGACTGCTTCTCTTTAAGCAGAATGTATTGTTGTCCTGCAACCTTCAAAGATGTAACCCATGTCAATGTCTGTGTAGTAGATGAATACACAATAACCTGAACAACCTGAGGACAAGCTTTCCCATCCTGCTCCCGCCTCTCAGACATCCACTGACCTTTCCCTTTAGAGCACTCATCCCTCTTGTTTACCATGTGCCTATAAAGCGCCCTGCCCTCCTCTGTTCTCCAGCCAACTCTAGCTCTGCCAATGAAAACATTACGTCATTTTATCATTACAGGACATTATCGTTTTTTTTATTTTCTCTATGGATATGTTTTTCATTTTCTGGAATATTTCCCAGTGTGCCATATAACCTATAATCCGCCTTGCTTTTATTCAGTTGGACATTTTTATAACTCAGATGACACTCGCACACTACATAAACTCACTGTAAAAATGATGTTGGCCATAAACACCAGCTTCCTCTGCTTCTGCTCGACTTCTGTGCAACTCTTAACTGTGTTGTTCATCAAAACAAACTCTCAAACAAGTTATTTCAAATGAACAGATGAGCTTGTGCTCAGCTTTTATTGCATGTCCAACAAACATCTGTTATCACAGGAAGTGCTCTCTTACTTAGTGCTCTCTGACTGACATCCACTGACTTGACTCACTAGGGACACCACCAGGCTGGTAAAATGCATGACACTGAATGCATATCAAGACATCTCCCTTTCTTTAAAGTCAGAATCCTTACACAATGCAAATAATAAAACATTGTAAACATGTTATTTAGCTTAGCTCACTGTTACTTTTTTTTTTATATCACCAAGTGCAAAAACAGATTTTTTTTTTTTAAGATTGTTTTTTTCTTTTTAAGTGATGACCAGTGATCACACGGAAAAACAATAAAAACAACAGAATGTGGTTAACACATTCACAACATCAGTCTATCAGGCTTCTTAGTCTGACGTCCAGACCTTCTCAGAACTGGTGCTGAAGATGCCTCTTCTTCAGTAGATTCCTTTACAGGTATTGTGTCAGTTGGAATAGACACAGCATGTTCATCTTCAACATCACAACTGGACTCTTGGAAGTGTTCCTTGGTCTTCAGTAGGTGACGACGATTCCTTCTGAGAACGCTTCCATCCTCAGCCCTCACTTCATACGACCTTAGACCAACTTCCTGAAGAACTGTTGCTTTTCGATTCCAGGCATCTTGGTCTCGAATTCTCACAACATCCTCCTTTGCAAGAGTCGAGAGAGGTTTGGTTGATCTGTCAAAGTAATGTTTTTGTTTTAATTTGAGCTTGTCCATTTTTGAGTGTACCTCAGTACGTTCTCTCATCTCTGTGTAGCTGGGTAGAGTTGTGCGCAACTTCCGATTCATCAACAGCTCAGCAGGAGATAAACCACACTCAAGAGAAGAGGATCTGTAACTCAAGAGAGCAAGATAGGGATCTGATTTGCTGTCCGTGGCCTTTCTCAAAAGCTGTTTGACGATATGCACCCCTTTCTCAGCTTTTCCGTTTGCTTGGGGATGCTGAGGACTGGAGGTCACATGATTAAATCCATACAGTCTAGAAAACTGCTGCCATTCCTTGCAGTTGTAACATGGTCCATTGTCACTTACTACAGTCTCTGGGATTCCGTGTCGGGCAAAAAAAGATTTAACATGTGTAATGACACTTGATGCTGTTGTACTTGTGAGCAAGGCAATTTCAGGATAGTTGGAGTAAAAGTCAATAACTAACAGATAGTCTTTCCCATTATGGTGAAATAGATCAGTTCCTACTTTCTCCCATGGAGCTGCGGGAAGATTTGGAATCAACATAGGCTCCCTTGCCTGTTTGCTCTGGTACTTCTGACAAGTTTCACATTTTCCAATCATATCTTCAATGTTTTTATTAATGCCAGGCCAATAGACTGTATCCTGGCTCGTCTCTTACATTTTTCGACTCCCAAGTGCCCCTCATGTATTCTCTGTAGAATTTCATTTCTTAAACTCTGAGGAACCACTATCCTTTTTCCCCTTAGCAATAGTCCATTTGCCACACTGAGCTCTGATCTAAAGTTGTAATATTTTGGACAAGACCCTCTGGGCCAACCACTTTGAATGTGAGAAACAACTGTTTGCAGTTCTGTGTCTCTCATTGTTTCTTCACATATTTGTTTTGATTTTGAATCAGACACTGGTAGGGACCCAACTACCATGTTCACGTGTTCCTCTACCTCTTTCTCTGTGGAACTTGTCTGATTCAGTTCTGTCGCTCGTGACAGCGCGTCTGCCAACACCAAATGTTTGCCTGGTGTATAGATTAATTCAAAGTCATACCTCTGTAGTTTCATGATAAGACGTTGAATTCTGGGTGACATTTCATTCAGGCTCTTCTTAATTATGGACACAAGCGGACGGTGGTCTGTCTCAACTGTAAAAGTAGTAAGGCCATACACATAACAATGAAACTTTTCAAGTCCAAAAGCCAACCCAAGACATTCCTTCTCAATTTGAGCATACTTCATCTCTGTTTTTGTCATGGATCTAGATGCATATGCTATTGGTCTCCAGCTCTCACCTTCTGCTTGGAGCAAGACAGCACCAAGTCCATCCTTTGATGCATCAGTGGAAACTTTCTGTCTTTTCGTGGAATCATAGTAAGCAAGCACAGGTGCAGTAGTTAGAGTGGTTTTGAGCACGTTCCACTCACGCTCATGTCTTGTGGTCCACTTAAACATTGTTGAGTCATGAAGAAGCTCCCGCAAAGCTGATGTTTTCACTGAGAGATTGGGTACAAACTTCCCAATGAAATTAATCATTCCCATGACTCTGAGTACACATTTTTTATCTGCAGGGCGTGGCATGTTAAGAATGGCTTTTATTTTCTTCTCATCTGGCTCAATACCATGTACAGACATTTTGTCTCCTAAGAACGTGATTTCTTGCACACCAAATTGGCATTTCACTCGATTTAGTTTTAGTCCATTTTCACGCACACGTTGGAGTACTCTCTTTAGCCTCTCATTGTGTTCTTGTTGAGTAGATCCCCAGATGACTACATCATCGACATAGCAGCGAACACCCTGAAGTCCCTCCAGAAGATTGTCCATTGCACGATGAAAAATCTCTGACGCTGAGATGATTCCAAATGGCATTCTCAAAAATCTGTACCTGCCATAGGGAGTATTGAAGGTGCAGTACTTGGAGCTTTTCTCATCCAACTTTATTTGCCAGAAACCCTGAGCCGCATCAAGCTTGGAGAAATATCTAGCTCCTGCCATCTCACTTGCAATCTCCTCACGTTTTGGAATCTGGTAATGCTCACGTTTGATGTTTTGGTTTAGATCACCAGGATCCATGCATATTCTCAGTTCTTTGTTTTGGTTCTTCTTGTCCACACACACCATGGAGTTCACCCACTCTGTTGGTTCCTCCACTTTGGTAATAACCTGCATTTGACACATCCTGTCCAGCTCCTTCTTCAAACGGTCCCGTAATGGTGCAGGAACTCTCCTCGGAGCGTGAATAACTGACGTCGCATTCTCCTTCAGTTGTATCTTATAGGTGTATGGCAGACAGCCTAAACCTGTAAATACATCCTGATACTGTTGTACAATGCTCTCAACAGTCTGTGAGTGTTCTGGACAGCTAATGTGATAGACTCTTTTAACCAAATGCAGTCTCTTTGAAGCAGACCCACTAAGCAGTGACTCACGACCCTCAGGTACCACAGTAAACAGCACAAAGTAGTCTTTATTCTTTACTGTTACTTTTAGTCTGCACTGACCTCTGCTTTCTATTTCTTTTCCATTATAGTCTTTTAGAAGCACATTATTAAGGACTATCTTGGGCTTTTCTTTCATTGCATGAATTTCTGACATGCTGATAAGATTAGCTTGGGCCCCTGTATCAATCCTTAAAGCAACCAATGCTCCATTAATGGGGAGAGACACAACCCATGTGTCATCTTTGACTGTGTTAATGTCATTGTCATCTCTAACTTGTGTCTTCTCATCACATAACACCATCCCCACAAAGAAAGTCTCACTTAGGTCTGTTTCATCTACTAACCGTACTGATTTGGATTTGCCTTTTGATAGACATTGCTTTGCAAAATGGTTTTTTCCACTACATTTAGCACATGTTTTCCCATAAGCAGGACACTGTCTGGGTTCATGCCTGTTACCACATCGTTTGCATGAATATGTTGTGTCATCTGTTTTTCTCTGCATTAGCCTTGCTTTTGTCTTATTTTTGACCACAGCTACTTTAGCACTATCATGGACTGCAGTTGCATTCAATGTAGAATCATTAAATGTCTTTGCATGCTGCTGGGCTAACTCGGTGGCATGGCACATTCTTTCTGCCTCCTCCAAAGTTAGTTTAGCCTCTCTTAGCAGTCTTTCCCTCGTCCTCTTATCATAGATGCCATAGACAATTTGGTCACGTATCATGGAGTCCTTCAAATCTCCAAAATCACAAGACTGTGCTTTAAGTTTCAAATCCGTCACAAAGCAATCAAAAGTCTCATCTTGCTGCTGCATTCTTGATCTGAACACATATCTTTCATATACTGTGTTCTTCTGCGGCGAGCAATGGGCAGTGAACTTTTCCAGAACTTCATCATACTTCTCCTTGTCTCCAGGTTCTTCAAATTCAAAGGTATTGAAGATCTCTATGGCTTGAGGGCCAGCTACAGTGAGCAGAAGAGCAATCTTTCTGGCGTCAGACTTGGAATCGAGTCCCAGTGCAGCTAAATACAGTTCAAATTGCTGCTTAAATGTGCGCCAGTTGCTGTCCACATTACCCACAAGCTTCAGTCCTTCTGGTGGCCTCAATGCATCCATCTTGAGCAAAACTGGAGTCAAGCGTTGTATTCACTCCTGGTACCATGTGTTGTTCATCAAAACAAACTCTCAAACAAGTTATTTCAAATGAACAGATGAGCTTGTGCTCAGCTTTTATTGCATGTCCAACAAACATCTGTTATCACAGGAAGTGCTCTCTTACTTAGTGCTCTCTGACTGACATCCACTGACTTGACTCACTAGGGACACCACCAGGCTGGTAAAATGCATGACACTGAATGCATATCAAGACATTAACTACTCGATACTTTCTTCTCCAGGTGCTTACATTCCGCGCTGCACCGAGGAGGGTTACTTCAAGCCCACCCAGTGTCACAGCAGCACCGGCCAGTGTTGGTGTGTGGACAAATACGGCAACGAGATCGCAGGATCCAGAAAACAAGGCAACCCCAACTGCGGTGAGCCTCCTGCACCCTCGCTCACTTCACAATAACAAGTTTGGTTTGCTGCATTTGCCCTTATTGGCTTCCATTTGTCCAGCTGTCGGTCAAAGTTAGAGTTAGACCTGGGTGGACCGCTGTTCGTCTGCTCCGTTCTCCCTTTGTACTACAACTCTTGAGTTTTATTTGTTTCCTTGAAACCACATTACCTGAACGCTTCTCTTCCAGTGTCTGTCCGGAAATCCTCAAGTGCACTAAATTGCCCATAATACTGTGTCTTAAGTCAGTGTTTGTATCAGTTCTTATGAAATTCCATACATAGAAAAATATTCGTCAGTCCATTTTCTTCTGTGATTCTTGCAATGCGAAAGTGATACAGTATATGACAGACTCAATAAATGTGTCACAATATATAATAAGTAAGATACATCAAGTCTATATTATGAAAATAGACCCTGAGCCGCAATCATCAACATTGTCACAAACAAAAGCTTGGTATATTTCACTTTGCATGTAATGAGTCTAAATCATATATTGGTTTAACATTTTAAGTGGAATTACAGAAATAAATGAACTTTTGAACGAGATTTTACCCCCAACAATCTCTATCGGTCAATCTCCGAAATAACATTTTACGATGATGGTTAGTTTATCCATTTGTGTTTGAACAGTCTGTCCAGTGTGCTTGTTCTGTAACCACTCCAGAAGCATTAGCGTTTGTGTCTAAAATGAGGCTTCCGATAAAAAGCGAAGGTCATAGAGGACGTTCTTTTTCTCAATTATGTGCACATTTGAAAACATCAATCGCTTCAAAATGTTCAGTAAATATCTAGACCGTGCAGTTCCAGACGTTCAAACTATCGATGGAACTAAACCAGGACGAGTCTCAGAGGCAAACTTTTATGATATTGCAGCCAAAATAATTTACATAGCATTAGCGCTACCAAACTGGCACCCATTATTGTGTTGTATCGTCTTTTTGCAATTAGTTTTTCAAATAGTTAAGTGTGCCTTAGGCTTCACACAAATATACAATCAAATTAAACCAAGGAACTTTGGAGTGGAAGTGTTTGACTATGCAAAACCCCATGTTTGAATTGGCTGCGTGCTACAACAACAAGCACACTACTCCTGGTCCATACATCCTGCTCTTGTCTGAGTCTGAGAGCATCACTGATCATTTAAGGCTGTGATAAGACACTGGCTTTAGTCTGACTGATTTAGCTTCACACATACAGCTGATCCTATCTGTGCATTCAGTGCATGGAGAGCCGATAAACGACAGCATCTCACAAGTCAAGTAGAGCCATTCGTCACAGCTGTCAGCGGTGAGCAATGTCAAAAGAGCTCGGATCTGTTAGACAAGCAGGAGCAGAGCTGAAAAATATCTACACGGTTGTTTGTTCGGTGTGGGCCTACACGGTGCAATTACAATAATATGTTTGTAATAAGTTGTCATGAGGGCAAACTGAAAATAACCCAAAACACAGAACTGCAAAAATAATGGATTTAATAATAAAATGTATTGCAAAAGAAAATCCAGAGAAAACATCACAAGTTACCAACACGGACTGACGACAGAATTAAGACAGACATGGAATGACAATGACAGAACGGTGAAGGAACACACAGGGTATAAAAACTAACTAAAAAACTAACTAAAACTAAAAGACTAACGAGACACAGGCAAGCCCCGGTGATCCAAGATGGCGCCCTATTCAAACGAATGGCTTGTGCTCAGTAGCGCATGGGACTTCACGGAGACCGGGAGATTAGCAGAACTCGCCTATATTTGGGCATCGCCTGGTCCTCCCGGTTCTGCGCAGTGGATTATCTCCCATGATGCGTTGCGCCAAATACGCGTGTGTGGCTCTCATGCACGTGCACAGAGGGGCTCGGCCGCGCTCCGACCAATCAGAGCTGCTGATCAGAGCAGCAGAGCGGTGTCAGAGCGGGAGGGAAAGGAGCAGAGTTTGTGGCAGTAAAGTGTGGATTTAAAGAAAACCGAAGGATTTAAGAAGAAAAAAAGTTCAGGATGACAAGGGACACTAAAATCCCCACAAAATCCGATCTGTTTTAATTTACATTGAGATCTATGGGACTTTTTTCTGGGTAGTCTGCAGTACCACCCCCTGTGCCCATGGGTGGTACAGCTCTAAGCTAGTAATACCCTATCCAGTTATTTTTATAGATCCATGGACACAGGTGATTCACATGAGGGTGGGGAAGGATAATCAGGAAACAGGAAGTACAACTAAAGAAGACACAGGGGTAAACAAATCACAAATAAAATCATGACACATATTCATGTTGCTCATTTCCAACAATGAAATCCCATTTATTAATCCTAGGGTACCAACCTTTGAAACCAGAAAACAATTCATTGTAATATTTACTTTCAAATTAGATGTTTTGTATGTGTCCCCAGACAACAGGTCACAGTACCAGCCCTCACTCATTATGTAAACAATAACACGTTTTATAATGTGATTAAAACATGCTGTGGTTTGACTTGTTCAAAAAATATTCACTTAAAAGTAATTATTTTGACTATTTCTGTTGGGGAAAACCAAATGTGTTTATGAAATCAAAAAGGTAAGGTACTGCTTTAAATTCAGCTAATGCGTGACAATAATGTCTTATTCTGTGATGTTTGAGATTATTTTTTTTTAAATTAAGACTGCTTCCAATTAAGATAAGATCGGGAATAGTAAAGAGTTTAGCATAGAGTTTAATCACATTTTAGTCAATGAATTTGTGAGAATAGCGATTTACTTTCCAGAGTTTTGGGGAAATTGGGTTCATATAATTAGTAACGTTTGTAGAAGTCATTGATTATGTGACCGACAGGAAGCCATTAAAGTGTTTGTCAAAGGGCCAATATAGCGCTTTGCTGCAAATCGATGGGTTTGCGATTTCAACGTTGGAAAATGGACAGTAATTATCCAGACACAATCCTGCAGAGATGCTGATTACCAAACAAAAGTCCTCAGATTCTGCCTCACATGACCCGCGGCTGGAGCTTGTGATTGCAGCTTCCAATATTGATGAGGCCCCTGAGCAGCACCACACACACACGAACACACAGACTCACATGCATACACACACAAACACACTTTCACACGAACAGACAGACACACACACGCATACTCACACAGACACGCGCACACACACACAGGGTTGGTCTTTGTTCCCTCCAAACCTCTGACACAAGTTAAAACAGCGTGTTTCACCAGATCAGATTTTCATTTAAAAACGGCAGCTCCGATAATGACTTTCATTTTGAAAGACTGCAATTTGACAATAAAACCAAGTTGGATTAATTGCTAATTATGGTGCACTCTTGAGACGGAAATCATTTGAAATTCTGTGTTTGTTTGTTTTGTTCTTTATGTTTCAGGCACATTTCAAGTCATACAAAAAGTACAAATGAAAAAGTGTCCAATTGTTGTCATGGCAGCAACATCTCGATTGGTAGTATTGTAATTAAAAGTAATTGTAACCGAGTAAGCTTTTCCTTTAGACCGCTGTCCCACGGGGCGCCTGCAAGGAGAAAACCTCCATTCATTGAATTGTGACTATGTTTTATCACATGTAGCCTGCGCTCATGTGTCTTCAGGGTGCACACTGGGAAGTGTTGCAGGGTACAGCTAAATCCTGTTACATTTGCCATGTCTCTTGCCTGTGCGCTGTCATCTCCATGGCTCCTCCATGGCGCCTTTTGCCAAAGCCGGAGCGAGCCTGTGGCTTAAATGCACCAGTGGACCACAACTAATTTGCACTCATTTCTTCTTCCTCTTTTGTTTCATTTATTGTGTACAGAAAGTTGTTAAATGTCTGAAGTCATGTATCTACAAAGAAATTGTTTTGTATTGTAGATCTAGACTATAGCATGTTACTGATGTATGATTTAATGTAGGAGGGGCTAAGAAGGTACTAAGGGTGTGCTCGTCTGCCCTGAGGCGGAGGGTGACGGTGACTGCAGGAGTGAGAGTCTCAGGCAGGAAAAAGACTTAAGAGCTCTGAAATAAAACTTCTAAAAAGACCAGAGATAAGTTTGTGAAAAAGAAACTTCACAGTAAAGGAAAAATACACCAGAAAAAGTTTACACAGTTTATGTTGATATTTATTATTTTTAGTTATTTCAAACAAAACCATCCACCTATTCTCAAGTGTTTTTGTTCTGCTCATCTGGGGTAACGGCAAGACATTCTCATTCCAGCTGAGAGTCCTGGGTCTTCCCCGGGGTTTTCCAACAGCGAAACATCACCGCTGATGATTGAATTTGCTTTCGTTAAACCATGAACTATGTGGAGTCCTTGTAGAAGACTGTTGTTATGTGTGTCCCGCAGATGAGGAGCAGGAGTCGTCGGGGGACTTGGGTAGTGGCGGCGCCGTCATCCTCTTGGACGACCAGGAAGAGGCGCCGTCAGCGAGCGGCCGGCAGAAGAAAAGACGGGGCCGGATCCACCCCCGCGGCGCCGTGGAGGACGACGAGGACGGCGACGACGACAAGGACGAGGACATCGGCTACATTTGGTAACAGCTGACCAGCAATCTCCCAAACCCGCAGCACAGATCTGAAGCCATTCCAGTGTATCCTCCATTTTCTTTTGGCCCTAATCTCCAGCCATCGTTCCGCCGCCAGCTTCTTTTAATCTCCAAACATTCGCAGACTCCACAAAAAAAGTGATAAACGTCATGAACAGTGCGAATTCAAGCTGTCCACTGTCAGTGATCTCACATCTTCAAAGCTCTCGAAGATTGGACTTTGCTTCTTTTCCCCCGTTCCATTTCCGTCCGTCTATCGTTAGCCAGAACATCTCGTGCTCCCAAACGCACCCGCAACGTTTCCAATGTAAATACGTTCCTCCAGAAAAGGCAGATTGTGGACTCAAACTGACCCGATCTCCCTCCTATAGACTTTCTTTCCGCCATCTTTGCCGTACGTTTTACTCTGCCGCGTCTGTTGCATCGAGGAGGATTGTAAATTATTTCTCTGTTGATCTTCGAATGTCCCGGAAAACGTCCAGGAAGCAATGAGATTAAAGATGTATTGTCGTTGTTGTTGCATGTTTCTCATCGTGTACCTGTAAAAAGAGAGATCTAAACAGCCAGGCCTTGCTCTATGCATCTCCAACGGAAAGCTCCGATACTTTGTTGCTATGTTGATGCTGTCTCGTGTCTTTTTTCAGTTCTCCCAATCTCAGGAGGTAGGAAGCAAACTGATGTGTAGTTTGACTAGAGTCTACGGATGCCTATGGTCCTGTTTGTGCAGCGTCTATGCCAGCGTTTCTTTCCCCCAGCGGTCAGTGGGGCTGCCTGTGTGTGCGGACCCTGCTGAGCTGGGAGGATGTGGTTCAAGTGTGGGAGCGGAGAGGACCCGCTTCTGCCTCCCAACAATGGATATGTTTAGTCATTTTAAAATATTCACCATGTCAGCAAGTGAACTTTTATTTGTGAGTTTGAGATCTTAATTAAAGTGGCACTTAGGGTGTCTTTTGAACCTAATTCTGGGTCTAGTTTTGTGCTTGTTTCTTTGTTATTCAAGGTTGATAGAAGAAAACCGATGCCATATTTTCACACATCCCTGCCCAGTGAATTAATAGATGGATTTTAAAAAGTGAAAAGTTCTGTCACATTATAAGGAGCTTATAAATATAAATATGTATTGAATTGCAAGATGGCAAAATTCTTCAGTAAAAGCACAGAAACTACAAAAACTCTGGTGTTGACATCAAACAAGCTACTGTAAGAAAATAAAAGTAAAATGCCTTTTTGTGGAATAATACATAAAACATGATTGCTTTAACTTAGAAGCATGGCTAACCACAACTCTTTAAAACAGTCCCCATTTGCAAGAAGTATGTTTTTTATATTGTTATGCAAGAAGTAAAAGTAAAACTGAATTGCTGGACTAAAAGTTGCTACTCTTTTCAAGCTCTTTTAACCCTGCTGCCTGTATAGCGATGCGATGTGCACAAAATGTACTTTCTCTGAACATTTTGCTGGTGTGGTTTACATACAGGTGTGCTTAATAGTCCAGCAAGTACTGTAGTGAGGCACTCAAACCTGGAAATTAAAACTCTTAAACGTTAAATAGTTTGCCACCTCTGCTGTTTGGGTAGAAGTCAAAAAAGGGCAAAAAGGGTGTGTTGTCCTGCTCACATCCCCCAAAACATGCACCACTGCCCCTAACTGGTCGCCTCAGTCACATCAGTTGGAGAATAGGTTAAATGCAGAGGACAAATAATAATAAATAACGTGTACAAATACATGTGAGTCAACTCTATATCAGTGTGGCACATGTCCACACACAGTCACTGAGATGGAGAAGCTTTGTCTTGGACTAAATCAGGAATGTTCTTCAAGGCCCCAAATGTGCCCAGTGGAGCACTCAAATGTTCAAGATAATTAGTGGACTTTTCTACGCACTAAAATTTAAATTTTTCGTCTGGTACACGCCCACAATCACTTTGCTCATTGATCTGTTGTGCATTTTTGGCACAAATGAAAAAAATAAATCTGCTCTATGCTGACACTTTGTGGAAATAAAAATAATAATAATATATTCTATTTAAAAGCACCTTTGAAAACACTCAAGGACACTGTACAAACATGGTTAAAAACAGGGTGCAATTTAAAAACATTAGCATTATTAAAAACAGGACTGGACAAAGGTGTTGGAGTGATTGGTCATGTGGGGAAAGAAAGTCTGAAAAGGTGAGTTTTGAGTCTGGATTTGAACAGGGGAAGAGAGTCTGTGTTGCGGAGGTCAGGGGGGAGTGAGTTCCAGTTCTAGGGAGCAGAGCGGCTGAATGCTCTACCCCCATGGTGACAAGGAGGAGAGAGGGGACAGAGAGCTGGAGAAAGGAGGAGGGGCGGAGGGTACGAGAGGGTGTGTTGATGTGGAGGAGAAATGACATTTGCTTTGGCTTGGAGGTGTTCTCACTAATCCCATTTAGTTTTTTAAAGTTCTAGGCCTGAATACAGAGATAACGATTCCTGTGTTAAATTCACGTATTTGATATTTTGACCAAGCATTTACATATTGCATAGTAACAGTTTTTATATGGGCAGTTCAGACACCTATATGGACCAAATCAGGGGTATCAGATTTGTATTCCAATCAAGCAGGAGCACCCCAGACGCCAGCCGTTTCCTGAGCTTTGTCTAGTCTTAACCTGAAGACTGAGTTGAATACCCTATGCATAATTTCTGTGGACAGGTTTTAAATTGCAATCCCCGCCACAACTCTGCATCATCACCCCAGGACCTTTCGCCACATGTCGGTATCTCGCAGAGCTCACAGAAGCCTCAAATAAAAAGTCTCCCATTGTCTGGAAATGAAATGAGCCACAGTCTCTGACCTGGCTGCAAATCCAACCACACATTTATAGTTTTTATAGCCGGGTTTTATTCCTCTGACGCATCTATTTCACAGAGGGGGAACATTTAAAGCCCTTCTATCAGATGTGACCTTTTCAACCTTGAGAAAGCGTTTGGACACCAGCATAAATGGAAGCGGTACAAAACACTCTTGCCGCGTGATTCGGAGCCATTGCGGATCCATTGAAACGCACATAAAAGCTTAATGAGTGATTTTGTAATACCACAAGTTAATGGGATAGTTGACCCTTTACCGGAGCTTGGATAGCCCGCTCAGCGATTCTTTGAAAACACAATTCACCAACAATCGCTGGTAAAAAGGACAACCCAACCTTTTGTCTTCAAACTGTCCATTCAGCAGTTCAGCGCTCCCGCACACTGGCAGATACAGAAGACAATAGACTTAAATTATACCATGGGCGGCTGCAGAGGCTTTGAAATGACCCAATCACCCTTTCTTTTCCTTTGGCCAGAACAGCAAATCAGAAAACTAGTGGGTGCTTTGTGAGACATATTGTTCTGTGTATCAACTCTTTGTTTTGTCTTGTGTTTTTAATTGCTTTAAGTATATAGAAATTAGGGCTGGGAATCATTCAGAGCTTACTAATATGTATTTTTATCTTGAGAACGATATATTTGGTATGTTTCTAAACAATACAACAAAAATCAGCAAAAAATAAGGCTTCTGGCCCCTTCTATAACAAAATTACAACATTATTAATGCATGTATGATCAGTTTATTGAAGATGAATTGAAGTGAAGTCAAAATATGAAAGCAAAAAATCAGGGAAATGTAAAAAGAAATCAGGAAAAAAAAATACATTGATATTATTTAAAAAAGGTGTATATATTTTTACTTTTTAATCATTACTTATCTAAACTAAACCTAATAGAAATTGTTATCACCATCACTGTCATCTTTTAGGGAGCAGCTTGTGTTTTTACCTCCGAGACCAAACTTCTTATTTTTCATGGCTCTATAATTTGGGCGTCTCTGTTATTACCCACAGATGGGGCTCCTGTTAGTGGCATCCGTGGCGGAGCTTCTGATTGGCTACATATGGGGCTCCCGGGTGATGCTGTCATTTTTATAAGGGCACAAAAGGGGGACTGTTGTTGTCGGTGTATTTAAGCTGACACTGCACTGAGAGATATGGCTTGGGTAAACGCAGCATCCTTTATCCTTTTTTAATTATGAGGTGGAGTAAAGCGCAGAATGCATGATTTTGTTTGGTGTAGCAAAAAGAACTTGGGCCTGATATAGAAACACTTTTTTTTTCCTGATTCTAGATTTTACGGTATTTTAGTCTTGCCCTTTATCTACAATAGCATATTTACAAGAATGCTCCTGTGCTAGAAATAAGACTATTCGGTTCCTGCTAATCACCTAACTAACTTATTATTTTTATTGAATGTTCTATATTTAGCATATTATCTCAGCTTTGAGTTTGTAGAAGTTGCTATTCCTCCACCACAGCTTTCAGTTCCTTATATATTATTTTTCTTCTTTTTTACTGTATGTTACCGTGGTGACCTCATCTTCACTGATGCTTTTATGTGTAGTTTCCAGCTTCCTCATTTCTACATTAAGCACAGAAGGTTACATGAGCCACAGTCTGCACACAATGTAATGGAAAGTTTCATAACAATATAATTCATCTCCGCACAGATGCTCTTAAAAAAAAACAGTTCATGTTGTAAGACTTCATACCTTTTTATCGGCAGAAACGATGAATTACAGGTGAAAAAGTAGACTTGCAATGTGAAACTAATTATGTCATAGTCATTACACGCATAGTAAAATATGCTGATAATAAATGTTGATAATTATGCCTCATAACTGGTAAAAAAAAAAAAAAAAAAAAAAATACAATTGATACATCTCACAAAATATATATTATATATCACAATGGACTAAGCCATAAGCAGTGAATAAATTGTGGTCCTTTTACCCAGTCATTTGTCAAAAATAAAAGGTAAAAATAATTTCACAAACAGAAATTGAGAATTTTACAGACCAAAAGGGCTTAGCTTAACTCTTATTTAATTAATCCACCCCATTTTACAAACTTTACAGCTGCCATTTCCTTCTCATTCAGTTTAGTTTATATTGAACCAACTCATTCACAACTACAATCAAACATTGGAAATCCCTTTTCAAAGTCTTGCCAAGACACTGCCTACAATACATGAAACATCCAATAGTAGTAGCTTCCCTCTGATACTGCCCAATAGTAACACCATCATTACAACATGTGCTCATGTGTGACCAGAGTCTGAACTACACTCGTGTTAACTGTGTTACATGTACATGTACATGACAACATTACAACTAAGGCTTGGCATAAGTCACTTTGCATGTAATGATTCTATATCATAGCCTTGTTTCCACTAGCCCTACTTGGCCCTGCTCTACTCCGCTTTACTTTACCCTGATTGGTACCAAACTGGTACCAGGTACTTTTACCTGCTTGACCCTGGTCGGTTCTAACCTGACCGCACTGGTTCTGACCAGGCCGCGCTGGTACCAAAGTGTTCTAACTGACAGCGATTGGTCAAAATGCTGCGGTAAGACAGAGTTATTTCCATTAAATGGTAATTTCCCTGAATACTATTTTTTTTGGGTAGGTTGCTAGGATACGGTACCAGCTACTGAAGCGTAATGGAAGCACAGCCAAGTAGAGCAGAGTAGGGCCAAGCCAAGTAGGGCTTTATTATGGCTTCACACTTTTGAACGATATTCTCCAAGTTCCACCTGTATCTCCTCCACTCGTGCTGACTCCAGCTCCGACAGGAGAAACTGAAGTGGTCCTCATCCTCAGAAGAGCACTGGGCCATCTCAGGTCATTTCAGCAGGCACTTTCCTAACAATTTACCACAACAACCTCAGGGGGCGTGCAATTAAGTGGAGCAAACAGAAAGCCCTCCTACAGCAGCCTAAGGACCAGATATACGAGGGATCACCACTCTGCCGTTTGCCTATGTAATTGGCTGCCACATTGTAATAAGAGGGGATCATCTCTCTAATCTGTCACAGCCCACTGCTTCGCTCACTCACACTCAGCCGCTGTTGACATGCAGCCAGTTTGTGCAGCGTCTAACCACCGTCCCTCCCCAGTGGTTTGTGCAGAAATCCATTACGTGTGGATCCATGGCACCACCACCAACACCTCTTTTCCCAAATTTCAAGAGCCCTCATGGCTTTGTGACTGGACTCTCCTGCTTGGGCCGTGGCGATAGGACTAAATTGCTAGGTGTACTTTTCTCTGTGAAATAAATTAAACAGGAAACAGACCACAAGCACTTTGCAACGGCTGCGCTAAAGCAATTCTGATAAATTAAATTGAAACTTTCACTTGAGCAGTGAGCCGAGACCAGGCAACATTATAGGCGAAGTGTCACCAGCAGCGGCAGCAGCAATACATCTACCTTTTTAGACGTTCTAATGTGTTTTTTTCTGCTTTCACACACTCTGTACCTGCAAAGTGTAGCTGCTATTGCGCAAATTCTTCATACTCAGTAAACCTGTTAACCTTGATGCAATATAAATAACTTGTTGAGAACTGTGTGTGACATCAGTGCCCCCTTGTGGTCACATGACAGCAAATAAAACTGCAAAATACAAAGACAATAGTTTATTATAATCATGACTAAGAATGCACACATATATATTCACAATTGCATGGCATATGTGTTAATAAGAGCAAATTTAGAGAATAATAATAAAAGTTATCAGTGACTTTCCAGAGGTGTTCAGAGGGTTTGAAGCAGGAGACCTCATTGTCTGGAGCTTTGGCGAAGCTGCTTTTCAGAAAATCTTTTGGAGGTGCTTTTTTCCGTTACCAGCGATTGCTATGAGCCGCAGCGTCCAGGTCTATGATGCGTGGGAGTCTGCCGCTGGCTCCTCCTTCCAGATACCCGGACTTCACACTGGAGGCGTCCGACAGCCTTCTCTTGCTCCTGATGAGGTCTGGAAGCATCACATTTAGTTTCAGCAGAGTCTAAACTAAACTCTTTACTTTGCCGAATGCTCTAATTGCTTGGCTCGTCACCTGAAATGGCCAGCAGCATTTTGCGTCTGGCTCCAAATGTTGAGACGCCAACTTCCTTCAGGTCCTCGTCAGAAAGAGTGAGGAAAGTTTGATAGTCGATCTGTAAGTGCAGTTGTAGATACGCATCAGCAAGAAAACATTTATGACTTTTTTCTTTTTTTTTGAAGTCCTTGAAGTGTCATTTTATCTTGATTTGTCTATAATTTAAATTAAATCTGGCAATGAAACAAAATTATGATAACAACCAGAAGTTTCTCACTTCACATGAGAATAAAAGAGTTGCTATGGGAACAGAAACTTGCTCTATTGGTCTATGTTATTTTTATCTAATCATGATATGCGTTGCTTATTTCAATCAGTTATAAACTTGTTTGGTGATTCTGTCAAATAATATTTCATTTGTATGATTATCTCAGCGTTCACATTTGTTGGTCTGGTTCACTTTAACAAAACATCAATTACATTTATTTCAATCTTTCAAACAGGCTAGAGAGAAAAAACATAAGTTGAAAAGATGCTTCTTTGGTTCTAGCCACTCTCACAGCACAAAATACACACACACGCACGCACGCACACACACACACACAAAGACACAGGTCCAAACACTCTCTGACCCTATACTTCTGTCTCATCACTCTGTGCATTTCTCTCTCTTCCTCGAACTTGTCGGTGTGAAATCTCCAACCAAGTGTCCTGTTGCCACGTAAAGGGGCTGTATGTAATAAGTTCATGTTGAATTAGATCCATATATTTAATGTGTTCACAGGTTTTTCTGAACAAAAGTTAAAGTTTAAGTGGAGTTATTCTTAATCAAAAATACACTTGACGTAATCTCCATAATACTGTATCTATGTTTTTGAGCAGATTATCCACCAGAGACCAAAATGAGGCTCTTGTTTGGATTTCCAGGTGAAATTTAGCAAGTTTTTTAAAATCATAAAAAAATCCCAAACAAAATATATCCCCACACATAGTAAAATGAAAGCAGACACAAATATAAGTAGTCATCCGTCATACACAGAGTTGGCAAGTAAAACTCCAGCTGGTGGTTTGCATCAGTGAACAGTGGTTAGGAGCTGTGTGACAGGCAGAACGATTCTGGCAACAACCCGAAAAATTCAATTCTTATTTGTTGGTCCCAAAACAAAATAATCAAGACTGAGAAATGACTACTTTATCTCAGCCTCAGAAACAAAAGGAAAAGCCATATGGAAACATGGTGTGAAAGTGTGAGATCACCTCCTGTTCCTCAAACACGTGAATGTATTTGAGCAGACCCAGCTGGCTCAGCAGCTCCGGCAACTCATCCAGCATCTGAGGGGACGGGCTCCTCTGGCTGCAGCTCGATGCCCTCCGAGAAGAGCCCACTCCCTCCAGGTAACTCCCACCACAGGGGAAGCTGTCCACTGCAACAAGGACAGGGTGAGAAGAGCCAGCAGCAAAGCAAACACAAAGGTGAATGTTGAAAATCTGACAAACGTGACATTTTAGTTTGACTCTTTACCAGTTCAAGTCAGTGCAATCCGATGGTCCCTCGTTTATCGCGGCGGTTACGTTCTAAAAATAACCCGCAATAAGTGAAATCCGTGACGTAGCAGCTTTAGGTTTTAAGGCTATTAGGGTGCTGCTGCAGCTATCAAAAGCCATGCATACACAGCTACAGTATGATACACAGCTGCAGCGGACACTGAGGAGCAGGACTGAGGGCTACAGGAAGACGGAACTAATGATCACTGTGCAAGTTTTCTTCTGGCTTTAAACAAAGGTAACTGCTTGTTATACAGCAGATCCTTTTGGAGTACTCAGTATACATCCAACGCATGAGAAGCACGCTGTAGAAAAATCAGGAACATTTCACACACAAAACATCTGCAAAAGGTGAACCGCGTTATAGTGTAGGCGAGTCATTCAAAAGTCCACTTACTTCTGTAATTCAGCTCACAATGTGAAACTAATATCTGATCACACAACTCATTTCACAAAAAAAGAGTGATATCAAGCCTTAATGTCATAATGTGGATAATTGACACACTGCCCAATCACTAATCAAGGCCAAATAATCAACATTTCAAGTACTGAGATGAATGCACTTTTGAATGATATTATAATTTCAAAGTGTCACCTGCTAAAGTGAGACTACCTGCTTGTTTCTAGTATTAATCAGCACAAGTAAAGCTTTAAATCTCAAACAGGGGGTCAGGTGAAATTCTGAAAATGAGTGTGATTGGTTGGCTGAGAAGGTTTCAGAGAATATGAAAGATAATGTGTTGTATTCCACTCATGGGTAGTAGCCTGGGACTTTCCATTTCCTGTCTGTTTTCAATGTAATTAACTAGAGAACATAATCAGCTAAGAATGGAAACCGGGCTAGCTTAGCGGGAATAACATTCACGACCTGCTTGTGATGATGTAAGCCCTAAATCACCAGGGCCTCTTTGACCTACACCTGTGAACTGGTCGCCCCTTGCCCGGACTCATCGCCCCCTCCCCATCCCAAACTGTAAACCACAGATTCAGTCCTGGATCTACAGCCTCAGTCCTGGGTCTACAGCCTCAGTCCTGGATCTATAGCCTCAGTCCTGGGTCTGCAGCCTCAGTCCTGGGTCTGCAGCCTCAGTCCTGGATCTACAGCCTCAGTCCTGGGTCTGCAGCCTCAGTCCTGGATCTACAGCCTCAGTCCTGGATCTACAGCCTCAGTCCTGGGTCTGCAGCCTCAGTCCTGGATCTACAGCCTCAGTCCTGGGTCTACAGCCTCAGTCCTGGATCAGTAGCTTGTTCGTCCGTGGGAGCGAATCTCTCTGTCAATATCAACCTCCCAAAGGTTTATCACTTTTTCTGTGGTTGACTTGTTTGATTCTCTGATCTGTTGTTGGCAAATCAACAACCTTGTAAAGTCAACGCAACAAAAAATACTTGAATAGAACTGTATTGTCAGCTTTTGGAAGGTTTGAGTTAAATTTATGATTATAAATTGTTGAACACTTTTGTTCATAAAATGTTAAATGTTTTTTTTTTTATTGCACCAAAAATCACAACAGTAATCTTCACACAGGGTCACAGAATTGTTAATTTGCCATTGGCAGATTAGAAAATACAACAATTAAGAAGACCCAGACAAACATATCCTTGTTTTTGTGTAATCATTCACTTTGTCTGAAGTTTTTTCCCCGGATATATGTAAATATCTGTGTGTTTTATGAATGCAATGGTCAACTTTAATATGAACACGGCTGCTGGTAGGTAAAGTTAAAATATCAAAATACAAATATACACAAAACAAATGCATCTGGGTCTGGACTTACAGGCTCTGTCGCTCTTTCCTTTGCTCATGGAGGGAGAGAATGCAGGGAAGGCAGAGGAGGAGGAGGCTGGGAGGGTGCAGGGGGGAGAAGAGGGCGACGAAGAGGAGGAGGACGAGCCCCGCCTCTCCCTCCAGTTCTCAGACTCGCTGCCATTGCACACTTTGTTCATCTGCACTGCCCAGGGCTGCGGGGAAAGGACATTTCAAGAAGCTTGTATCCGTCACCTCACATCTGCCACTTTGAAAGGGCACATATATCACAGGCTACACAAAAAGTCCACACGCCGACGCTTTTAACCGGTGGAAAGTGAGTGGAGGAAATATCAAGTGTGGAGATTTGTTCCTTTAAAAGTTAAGGGGAATAAGTGATTGGATGGACTTACAGCACAAAGATCAAATGCACTCCAGTTCAGGTGAAGGCATATGTTTAGGGCTGTGCAAAAAAACATGTAATAAATGTTGATAATTATCAATATACAATTTGTCATATATATATTTCAATATTTTGTATTTTTAGAATTTAGATTGTGTGATTCTTTTGTAATAGTTAAAGATCCTCACATTGCAAACACAAGCATTAGATTGAGATGTATCTACAATCACTCTTCAAAGGAGGATAAATGATGCAATAATGTGTTTTTGGTACATTTTATTACTGAATTGTATCAAATATCAAAGATAACATACCAAACAGAATCGCATCAGAGTGAAAAAGTCCTGTATCGAGATCTGTTTCATATAGTGACCTATGAATTGGTGCATGTATTCTAAAAGATAGTAGTAGTGCAGTGGGATGGCCCTCTCGCTTCTCAGCAAGAAAGAACAGGGCCTGTTCTCCCTGCGTCTTTGTAGGTTTCCTCCGAGTACTCCGGTTTCCCCTACCACTAAAAACATGTACAATAGTTCTGGCATGCGCCTCCTGTTTGGCGACCCCGCTCCCATCTCTGTGTGGAGTGAGAGACAAGTGCCCACAACAAGTAATGCGCTTTGTGACTCTGGTCTGTGAAAGGCACTATATAAATAAAGATTACTTACTTACTTACTACTACCACTAGTATCAGTGTAGTGTAGTAGTGTTAGTAGTAGTAGTCATGATCGGAGTTGTAGTAGTAGTGGTAGTGCTAGTGGTAGCAGCGGTGGTAATGGTAGTAGTAGTAGTAGTAGCAGTAGTAGTAGCAGTAGTAGTGGTGGTAGTGTCATCAGTTGTTGTAGTCGCAGATGTGGTAGTAGTAGTAGTAGTAATGGTAGTGGTGGCATTAGTCAGGATAGCAGTAGCAATAGTAGTGGTAGAGGTAGTAATGGTAAGTAAGTAAGTAATCTTTATTTATATACCGCCTTTTCACTGCACATCGGAGTCTCAAAGCAGTTTACAATTGTGATTTTTGGGAGTGGGGGTGCTAGTACAGGAGGCACATGCCAGACCTATTGTACATATTTTTAGTGGTAGGGGAAACCGGAGCACCCGGAGGAAACCGGAGCAGACACGGGGAGAACATGCAAACTCCACTCAGAAAGGCCCTGGTCCAACCGGGATTCGAACCCAGGACCTTCTTGCTGAGAGGCGAGAGTGCTATCCACTCAGCCACCGTGCCGCCCGGTAGTAGTAGTAGTAGTAGCAGCAATGGTAGTGGTAGTAATGGTAGTAGTAGCAGCAGTAGCAACAGTAGTAGTAGTAAACTTATAAAATATAATATAAATATAAATATATTATTCTTCATATTTTGAAAAAGATATATACCTGTCAAATAAAAAAGTATTTGATAATTTCCTTCACTATGCAGTACTCTGCAGCAAACCTCAAACATAAAAACATTATTGCTTTCTGCGACAACAATGGTGTATTTTGTAATGATGTTGTGATATTTCTTTATTGCAGTCTTACACAAGGTTTGGGCTTGAAACTCTTTTTTTCCTCTGCGGTAAAACTATAATGACTGGAGCGAGCGTATTAACAATTCCGAGCACAAAACACTCCTGCTGCTTTTGCCTCTAAAGAAAATTGAAGTTACACCGATGTTTCCTGCTTTTATTAAGACTCATGTTTGTTTATTGCTCCCTCGCAGAGTGCAAGGTTTTAAAGGACTTTCGCTTTGGTAAATCCCATGCGGTAATTGAGCCTACAAATTGGCGCTGCTGTCTGTGCAGAGATGCATGTTTTGCACAGTTAGAGGTTTCAATGGGAGCACGGCTTGGATGGGTAATGTTAACCTCGCTCAATGAAGCCCAATAGGAATCAGCCTCTTTAGCATTAAGGCTAACTCTATGGTTACGTCAGAACTCAGTCGGTCTCTGTGTTTTTTATTTTATCATCTTAATTTCAAAAGGTTCTGTATAATCCATTATCTAAAATTGTAGATCCTGTTTGATGTGTGCAACCCGAAGGCTCTTAGTTCCTCCTTTTATCCTGCTGTAGTGTGCGCAACGATGACATTGAAATTTCCCCTACTGTGGGACGAATAAAGGAATATCTCATCTTTGAAGCGAGGGATGGAGGTACAAAGCTGCGTGATTGTGGTTAGCACCTGCTGGGCGGAGCTCAGGTACGGCTTGTAGCTGCGCCTGCTGATGTGACGGAGCTCTTTGATGGCTTCAGCCGGCATGGACTTGGAGAAACCCAGACCACTCCAGGTGTCCGTGGGGGTCCGCACCTCGGTCACCACAGGCCTCCTCTGCATGGCTGAAAACACAGATGAGAAATACAGGGTTTCAAAATAACCAAATGCAGCATTAGAGAGAGGAAATTGTTCATGATGAAGCTGGGGTACCTATTTTTCGAAACAATAACATGGAACTAAGTATAACTAAATCCATAATCTGTAATTCAATTTACAACGTGAAGCTAAAATATAACAAGTGAAGTGAGATCGATCAAGCCTTTTGTTGTTTTAATGTTTATAATTATTGGCTTACCACTTGTAAAACCTGTCTTTTTATTAACAAGATAATGTATCATCTTTCTTTAACTTCACAGTTGTCTTTGACGTTGTTGTCTTTCAGTAACATATTCAAAAATAAAATCCATGTTTTTGAGTTTAAGAGTATGAATACTTTTGTAATGCACTATTTGTATGATGTTGGCCAGAAGAAAGGACTTATAAGTATATATAAAATAATATAGCGGTTTGTGAATCTAATCACTAACAAAAGCATTTGTTCTTGACATGATGATACGTTATTTTTCAACAAGAAAACGTCCAATGGCTTCTTTCCCATAAACAAGTATTGGCTCTTGTCCTCTAAACTGAAAAAGAATTCTAAAACATGAAAACAACCCATTGAAAGTCCAGGAGAGGTTATCATTGTTATCACATTACGTGTTTTTTGTTTGTTTATATTTTAGTGTATTTGATGGGGGATTAGTTCAGTAAATATGTATTCTCACAGCTCAATCATAGCTAATGGTTTAAAAATCAGCATTAAAATCGCAAAAAAGCCCCATCAAAACTTTGAGTGTGATTAAAATGCTCTGCAGGTTTTGGTTTGTGGCTGTGACGGCCCCAACTATTTGGCGTTAAATAATGAATCACAAACAGCTCTTCATCTGCTCTCTTGAGTACACCACAGCAATAAACCTCAAGCCCAACGACAAACAAGTGATTTCTAGTGCGAGTCGGATCTGAAAACATGTGTCGGACGTGCCATAAAAGCAGCATCAGACTCCAGATAACGCCGCAACATCTCTGGAAGGAGCGACGTGTGCGATAAACTTGTAGAAAGAGTCCAATTCATACAGCGGCATATGGAGCGCTTAATGGCTGTGAGGCAGATGGCCCATTCACACTGCTAATTCCTAATCTCATAAAACAACACTATGGGAATATAGTAGCATTTGGCTGCAACTCATCCCGGTATCGCTCATTCAAAGTGATGAATGAGGCAGCGTTGTGTAAGCGTATGTGTGTGTGTGTGTGTGTGTGTGTATGTGTGTGTGTACGTGTGTGTATGTGCCAGTGCTACTCTGTTATAACTTTGGCACTGACTGGACCATAACAGCCCACTTCATCAGTTATATTGGCAGAGATAAATTCATACAAAACCTCTTTTACTAAATTACAGGTCTTGCCATCATCGGCATAATTCCTAAACTCATTAGTGGATATTTTGCGGTGAAATGAGTAAACGCTGTGTTTTGTTTTCCAACTTTGTGCGTCTACAACATGAAGTCTTATTTATACTACTTCCCAGTACTTAAGTAGTAAGTAAGTTAGTAGTAAGTTTTTATTTATATACCGCCTTTTCACTGCAGATCTGAGTCTCAAAGCGGTTTACAATTGTTAATTTTGGGCATTTGTCTCTCACTCCACACAGAGATGGGAGCGGGGCCAGTACAGGAGGCGCATGCCTGAACTATTGGACATATTTTTAGTGGTAGGGGAAACCGGAGTACCCGGAGGAAACCTACGCAGACACGGGGAGAACATGCAAACTCCACTCAGAAAGGCCCTGGTCCGACCGGGATTCGAACCCAGGACCTTCTTGCTGAGAGGCGAGAGTGCTATCCACTCAGCCACCGTGCCGCTGAGTAGTGAAGTTACTTTCTAATGCAAATACAGAAGCCTGAGTTAAAGTATTATGACTGCTGGATTAATGTGAGTATTTTCATTTTGTTAAGGCACATTTTGGGACATGGTTGACCTGTTATCCTACTGACTGACTCTTAGCTGCTTTACATGTGTTCTAATCGATTGATTTTCTAATTTTCTGTTGGCGAATCAACAATTCTGTGACACCCAAAGAGATGACTCCTGTTGAGATTTTGGGCTATACAAAAAAGGATAGTTGTTTTTGTTTTTTGCACCACTGTGATTAGTTCCATGTACACCGTGTATGCATGGATTTTGACAGCTGCAGCAGCACTCAGACCTACAATGAACAGGTTTTATACGTCTGCATTTGCAAGTGTGTAGTGAGGGGTTTTCAGCCTTAAACAGATGCTTTGCTTATTGCAGATTATTTGTAGAAAGTTACTCCAGGCTGAAATAAACGAGGGACCACTGTAGACAAAAGTAAAAAAGTATTAAAACTCAACTTCATTCCACCACCCAAAACTACTTTTGGTTTTTCTACTTTTCTTCTTATCTTGGCCTTATTTGAACAAATTGTAACCACAGTTGGAAGTAAGTTGTGTAACTCTTTACACCAAATCAATGTAAACCACTGCTCACTGGAGCCAGGAGGAAATCCATTTTAAAGTGATAGTCCCAGCAGCTGAATGGGCTCACGTTATCGGAGTATCCAACTGAGCACAAAACTCTGGAGGCCACAGTCCAGTGTAGATAAAGAAGCGCTGCTGCCTCTGTCCTCCAGGCCCCGGCAGCAGAAATTGGCTTAATGCAAGCAGATAAAACATTTAGGATAACTTACCTCTAGTTGCCAGCAGCTTCTTCTTCTCATAGTCAAAATCCTACACACAGTAAACAGAGAGGTAAATAATGCATGACGGAGTTTGGGGAGGAAATAAAAAAGCAATGAGCACACACTGCGGAAGAAAGACTTTTTTTTTTTTTTTATGGCAACAACCATTATTGATCACTTGCTTTGCTCTTGCTCAAATGACAAAGGGCATTAGAAATTCACCCACATGCCAAAACAATCTCATTATAGTCTGATCATAAATAGCCTGTTTTTATGGTGGTTTTCATAAAGAATGAGGAAATGTCACGCTTGTAAATGTGGGCCGGATTATTCATAAAAGACCAAATAATAATGATCCTTGTTTGTCATGTTTTCTAATTGAATTTTGAATCATTTGTGTTTAATTGTGTGATTAAGAGAAACCCATCACAATAGAATGTTTTAATGGTGTAATAGGTAGGACTGCTTTGATGCACGGTGGTTATTGTTGGAAGAAACTGGTCTCGGTTCGGTCGGTCTAGTTTTTGTGGCACAGCATGACGCATCAACACTGTGGCAGGTGTTGGCACAGTCTCTATGTCTGGTCCTCGGTCTCTCGGTCTGGTCCTCAGTCTCTCGGTCTGGTTCTCGGTCTCTCTGTCTGGTCCTCAATCTCTCGTTCTGGTCCTCAGTCTCTCGCACTGGTTCTCTGTCTCTCGGTCTGGTCCTCGGTCTCTCGGTCTGGTCCTCGGCCTCAGTCTGGTCCTCAGTCTCTCGGTCTGGTCCTCAGTCTCTCGGCCTGGTCCTCAGTCTCTCGGCCTGGTCCTCGGTCTCTCTGTCTGGTTCTCAGTCTCTCGGCCTGGTCCTCGGTCTCTCTGTCTGGTCATCAGTCTCTCGGTCGGGCCCCGGTCTCTCTGTCTGGTCCTCGGTCTCTCTGTCTGGTCCTCGGTCTCTCTGTCTGGTCCTCGGTCTCTCGGTCTGGTCCTCGGTCTCTCGGTCTGGTCCTCGGTCTCTCGGTCTGGTCCTCGGCCTCAGTCTGGTCCTCAGTCTCTCGGTCTGGTCCTCAGTCTCTCGGCCTGGTCCTCAGTCTCTCGGCCTGGTCCTCGGTCTCTCTGTCTGGTTCTCAGTCTCTCGGCCTGGTCCTCGGTCTCTCTGTCTGGTCATCAGTCTCTCGGTCGGGCCCCGGTCTCTCTGTCTGGTCCTCGGTCTCTCTGTCTGGTCCTCGGTCTCTCGGTCTGGTCCTCAGTCTCTCTGTCTGGTCCTCAGTCTCTCGGTCGGGCCCCGGTCTCTCTGTCTGGTCCTCGGTCTCTCTGTCTGGTCCTCGGTCTCTCGGTCTGGTCCTCAGTCTCTCGGTCGGGCCCCGGTCTCTCTGTCTGGTCCTCGGTCTCTCGGTCTGGTCCTCAGTCTCTCGGTCGGGCCCCGGTCTCTCTGTCTGGTCCTCGGTCTCTCGGTCTGGTCCTCAGTCTCTCGGTCTGGTCCTCAGTCTCTCGGTCTGGTCCTCAGTCTCTCTGTCTGGAGGTGTAGAATGGTAGCGAGTTACGACCTCAGTGATTAGATTGGAGTTGGACAAACACAGAAACAATCAAGATAATAAAAACAAATGATGTCCTCTGTCTGGTGCTGGAGCTGGGACAGTTACGTGGTGATAATCAGCTTCTTCCAAAGGCGTAGGGAGAGCTGCATCTCAAATTAACAACTGCAGAAATGGAGAAATGAATGTTGCATAATAATAATAACGATATGAGGATCTAATGAGGTGGTTGAGACTGGCCTGAGTTGTGGAGTCTAAGACCAGCCAATAACTGTATCCATTTAATGCACATGGGCTGAGTGTGAAGAAGTTAGTAAGTCATGTTTTTTTTATAAAGCGTATCTCACAGACCAGAGTCACAAAGCGCTTCACAATTGTTGTTTTTTTGGGGGGTATTTTGTCTCTCACTCCACACAGAGATGGGAGACATAGGCACATGCCAGACCTATTGCACATGTTTGTAATACATTGTTAAAATGTTTTATTTTTTGTAAATATATTGAGGGTGAATGCTGGTAAGTATTGTTTATGTTTATGTATGTATATAAATATGCAAGTGTATGCGTACATTATATGTAATATGATGAATGCAAGTTTTTCTTCTCCATTGAATGAATACATCAGTAAATGTGTGGACCAAACTGTGCCATCTCTGACAGAGCCGCCATCCTCCTGTGGGGCCGCCTCCTGCAGGGGGATCAGGGAGGGCAGCTTGTGATGAAGAACAGGTGACAGCTAGCATTGTAGAGGATTCAGAGGCCTATTGTCCACTTATAATATGCATAAATGACCATCTCACCTGAAGTTACATCATCTCAGACCATTATCCAATTTTGGGATTCTGCAAAGGCGTTTTTTTAAATGCCTGAAGAGCATTTTTCCCTTGTCGATCGCATTAGATTGATTAACATTGACCATTTTACACAAATCACCAGCATTAGCCCGGCCTCACAGTGAGTGGACAAAGGTTAACAGAAACAGAACATCCATAGTCATGCTTGAAGTGACTGAATTGAGGAATTTACAATTGTAATGCTCTTGTATGAGTGGGTGAAGGGAGTGAGGGGAGGGGGTGGAATAGAATAAGTGCACTTCATTTGGTTTTTCTAGCATAGATATTATTAAAGTGCTCTTATATCATTTGATGCTGATTTTTGACATAACCTTGTATGCATGTTTGTATATCATTATCAAATGTATTTCATTTTCATTTTTCTAACTGTGTTCAATGTAATCTTTTGTGAGATTTCATAACACTTTTAAGCAACTTATGTTAAAGTTAAACTCATCATTCTATCAATGTGCAGAAGCCAGTTCTTTTCCCTTGTTTTGTCTATCTGAAGGCCAAGCTACATGGCACCGTGGAAGCTGCTGATTGGAGGTCTCCATGCCTCCGCTCTGTATAATACACTTGCATTCTGTTGTTCGTGCTGTCTCTACCATTGACAATAAAACATGTCTTCTGTCTGAATTTAAGACACGATCCCAGACCATGTCATCTTCTTCACTTTGTCAGTTTTGCCATCCTATTTTGTTTTTCCCATGTCTCATCGCATCCATAAGCTTTCCATAGCCTCTGAGGGTGCTCTTTTTCACAATAGCACGGAGATATGCAGACAATTTCAGTGTATACGAATAACATTGAATTGAATTGAAACTAAAATACTGTTTTTGAACTTAAAGGCCAAAATTGGTATTGCAACCTCTCCCACTCTCCCTGACTCAGGTTGCCAGATATGCAGACGAATCCAGCAAGGAACATAATATCTGAATAGACAAGAGTTTTGTCAACAACAAATCTATAAACAACACCTTTTTCACAAAGACCCCGATAGAAATCCTGGTTTTATTTCTCTTGTTTTGTTAATAATTAATTGAGAATCATAACACAACCTTTTTAGTTCTGCGGCTACATTTTACTTTACCAGTGAGATTAGCTCGACACGGTAAGTACTGGCACCCCGGATTACGGACTTTCTGATTGGGGAAACGGTGGAGGGCGGGATATCAAAATGAAAACATTAATAAGATAAAATAATAATAATAATAATGTAAAAATAATTTTGAAATTAAAATATCTCGGCTGAACAATTGTTATCAGTTAAAGTATTCAAAAAGAGCGTGGTTTTTTTTTTGTTTCTTTTTTTTTATCTTTATTTATATACCGCCTTTTCACTGCACATCGGAGTCTCAAAGCGGTTTACAATTGTTATTGCCTTTAAACAGATTAGGGCCATTTAAGGATGCCTTGACATGAAAATCTTCTTCATCATGCTAAAGTTGGAGATTTTAGACTTCTTTCCTTATTATGCAAAAGATAGAGATTTTATACTGCTTCTTTTTAGGATAGAGTTTAGGATAGATTTTATTTAGATTTAGTGTATTATTCATTTATCTTGTGTTGTGTGCTCCTCATTCCTACTGTCTGTAACCTGTGATGCAACACTGAAATTTCCCCTCTGTAGAACGAATAAAGGATCTCTTAATCTAAATCTTTGATGTTCAATATATAAAGTTCATGTTCTGACCCTGGAGGCAAGTGCTTCATAATTTTTGTTTTCTTTTGACACATTTTCTTTCGAGCTGGCACAAGGCCAAGTAAACCACAAGACAGAAGCTCTTGAGAAGCTGGAGTTCTGGGTTGAAAAGGTGAAGAGCTGATTTCTCTCACCTCTGATGTGGCTGAGTCAGCTTGCTCTTCCTGCAGGCTGGACCACCGCCCTCCCTCCTCCGGGGTGTTTAGTAATCTAGCATGGCCAAAAGACAAAATTAGAACGCAGCGTGCAAAATGCTGTGTTATCTAGGGTCGAATTGTGTAGAGAAATTTACCCAACAGTCTACAGGCCATTGCTAATGAATGCACACCACACGTTCTTTTGCGTTTGAGGTCAAAGAGATAAGAAATGAAGAGTCAGCAGCAAACTACAGCAGATACCAGGCTTTCTCACTTATTTGTGGACAGATCTGGCTCATGCAGGTGTAAGAAAGTCCACGTGAATTAATCAAGAGAAAGTGTAAAACTGCAAATCTTTACAAAATATAAAAACGAGCAGAGATTTAGCTGCTGTCCGATCAGAGGCTACATCAAGTTGACGGGCCCTGAATGCTGACCTGTATGAGAGGGGCTGTCCCGTAGAGTGGCGTCGCCCTCTCCCATAAATCCTGTTGATCTCAGGAGTGGGGAGGCTGCCCCGGCGAGACTGGAAGCTCACTCTGTGTACACTGCTGCTGGGCACGGAGTCACAGAGGTCAGCGGCTGTTTCCTGAGCAGCCTCGTCCTCTGACTGGCCAGAGGCATCCTCATTTTCAGGAATCTGGATTAGATAGAAAAGGAAGAAAACCTCTGCACTACACCAATTTGCCAACTTCTACTCTTTCTATATATATTTTTTAACCATCAAACCCCTGGAAACGAGGAATATTGAGAAATTAAGAGTAAAATGCAGCATTCTGGGATGAACCTGAAGTTTGATCTATCTGTTCAGTGATTGTTCCAACTCATAATTAAAGTAAATGAGTCATCCGAGGCCAAAACTACAGGACCCCACTTCACAAAGAGTCCAGCCATTTGTTTGAGCTCCAAAGTAAGTTAAAACCTTTACTTTGGATCAATCCATATCAAAATAGTTCAGTATAAAGTCATATTTTGGAAAATATGACTGGAGTCAGCTCTGTGGAGATGCAATCCCTCTGCAGTTAGGAGACATTATACTTTTTATAATAACGTAACCGCAATCCCAATGACAGATAAATGCTTAGATTTTGTCTTTTACTCATCACACATTGTCGGAACATTGCTGAACACTGATTTACGTTTTAAGGCGTTTATGAGCGGGAATACCTTCTCCAGTGGACGGCTGTCTGATCCCTTCAGTGCAGACCGACTGTCCTCAAGAGGCGGGTTGAGGCCTGGAGGCGGTGAGGGGCGGAGCTTAGCCATGGTCACACCCTCTGTGGACAGAGCAGGTACAGGACCTGTCCAGACAGAGCGGTCACACATGTATCTAGACCAGCACCAAGCAACTTCAATTGTATTTCATTCTACGTCCAATATGAACTCTATAGCGCCACCTGTCCCAAAGTAATAGGGCTCTAGTGCTTCGATCCGCCTGAAAATACCTGAGTAAAATCTCTGAACATGCAAAAGTTGACCACTGGGAGCGCCTTGAATTCTTTGAATTAGTTTTTTGGGGCAAAATGTTTGTCCGATAAGGCTAGAAATGAACTCACAAATACAGCGTATGACCCTGAACACAATAATATGCAACACACAACTGTGGGTGGAACAGCGCCACCTACAGAAAGTTAAATATGTTGTGTTTTTAAATTCAATCTAGTCCCAGGTTTTTAATCGCAGAGACTTCAACCATGTTATTCCTCCATCTGGACGAATTTAAGTTTTATTATCCTTGACAAAAAGTTAGAATTTCATCACCGTTTTCATGACAGGTAGCAGTGAATTTCATATAGTTTTAGGACCCCAGGGCCGTAATCCCCGACCTCGCCACTGGTGGCGCACCCGTTGCTGAATACAGCACAATCTGAAACTGCTGATGTTTTGTCCCTGATGATGGTATAGAGGTTAAATTCTGCGCTGTGACTCACGCAGCTATGGTACAATCACGGGCTGGACACTTTAGTGTTTTTATGGGTTTTATGCCCTAACTCTGGCCCTATTTAGATGATTACGGTTTCATAACTGTGATAAGCGTAATAGTGTGAAAATACACACTCAATATCAACTCTAACCTAAGCCTCTAACCTAAACATGTTTACAATTTGCACCAAAGTCACAGGGTAAAAAAGACCACCACTAGGGGCGCACTGAATCCTTTGAATTAGCGTTATGTGTGTTATCCTGGTTTGATCAGGCTGCGAATTAATCTGCAAGTAAATGTATGACGCTTTTGGAACTGGCGTTGCGAAAATGGCGAGTGCTTTCATCACCGCTTGCGGTTTTAATTATTATTATTGTGCTGCAGAGCCTCAGGTAAACATGTGAATCCCGATGACTGAATACTGGACCGAGACAACGCTTGAAGTATCTGTATCACTCACTCTGCTCCGAGCTCCTGAGCTGCTGCAGTAACATGTTGAGCCAGTAGTGCGTGAGTCCACCGCCAGCTGTGAGGGGGTCAGAGGTCACAGGGCTTTCTTTGGAGCTGTCAGAGGAGCCCAGGCCCAGGAGCAGACGCCGCGCCTCGTAAAGACAAGAGATGTTCCTCTCCAAGCCTTTCACCACCACCGACTTACACAAAGACAACGGGAGAACTTAGGAGAACAGTATACGAGGAAAACATAACAAGTAACTAAGTATTTTTAGTTTCTGGTATAATTACTTTACAAACTAACTTTACCATGTTCAAATCCCATCTCAAAACTAACTTGTTCAGGCTAGCGTTTTCTCTTGATTTGTACTGCAGTTTTTATATTGTAAAATTTGTATTGCCCCTATTACTATTACTATTATTATTATTAATGTAATAATTACTGTTATTAGGTATGATACCACTATTCATATTCATATTTAATTCAATTCAATAAATATTTAATTTTTCTTTTTCTGGCAAATTTTTACTTTCATGCTTTAGTTTTGCCTATAATTTTATTAATTATTTGTGATTAGCCATGCTTCTAAATGCTGATAACCATCCGGCTTGAGTTTCAGTCAGAATGCAACATTTCTACAGTTTATTTTTGTATAAGTGTTTCAAAGACCAAACCCTAGCACTTTTTCCACCTCTGGCAACATTTCTTACATATTTGATGTCAGACAAAGGCCACCTAACTCGTGAACAACTCTTTAACAGCTGCGTTAGGAGAAATGATCAAAGCCAGATATGTGTTTCAAAGCTGTCCACATTGTCGACGCAAACACAGAAAGCATGTCAATAACAAGACTCATGTTCTTGTGGTAGACACGTGGAGCAGTGCGCTGCATGGATAATTGATACCTTGCTCGTTTGTTTGACTTTGGGCTTGACACTAATGAAGACTCCCAGGTTTTGCATCATCTGAGCCAGTTTACAGGAATCTGCCTCTCCGTCCTCTCGCATGTCGAACATCAAACAGACAGGCAGGCAGTCCTATGCAACAGCACACACAGTCAAGACGTCAACGCTGTGTGAAACAAATATAAATTCAAAATGCCAAAAACAATGTGTCCAAATGCATATATGCAGCCCCAAATCCCACAGAAGGTCTGACTGAAGCGGCTAACTTTGTATCACTGCTGGAACTCACGCCTCCTTCTCTGCATGAATATAGATAATTAATGACAGACTTTGGAACACTCTACTCAAACAATTAGCATCTAGATCAGAGGTGCTCAAAGAGATGCCATTTTTAAAGACCGCTCGAAATAACTTTTCAATTAACATATTATAAGCTCCTACTTCTTTTTCATTTTAATTTACACTATATCTATATGTGGTACAAACTTTACTTTTTTTAAAGATGTAGCTGGTGTAACAAAATAAATTTAGCACTGTGTTGTTGTTCAATTAAAAGCATTGACGCTTTTAACATAACAATGAGCTACCCTGGCATGTTATACCTCATTTGAACACATTTATTAAGAAATGTTATTCCAAACACTGAACTTAAAACAAAATTATCAATAGTTTAAAACATAAACAAATGCCCCATCAGTCTAACATGTTTTTTTACTTATTTTACATTTGGTCCAGTTTTGATTCATTCCAAACGTAACTAGTTTTATACCGAAAAATCTACGAGAAAAGTATGTCCAAACTTTTGAACCTTTATCAAAATAGCTTCTTATAGAAAACAGAAATACATACAACAAACACAGATGCAGAATATGAGCGATACATAGAGTTTGAAAAGTCACTTTAAAAGCAAGAGATAAATCGCCTCGGCCCATGTCCTATGCTTTATTTCGGCCCCGACTAAAATAGTTTGGGCTCCCCTGAACTATATGGAAAGCCAGCAGGGCCTCCATGAAAACACTAGGACACCAGGATTTAGTTGCACACGAACACGCACGCACACACACAGACACACACACACACACGCACACACACACACAGACATACACACATACACACGCACACACACACACACACACACACACACACACACACACACACACACACACACACACACATTATGTTCACTGAAAGCAGCAATAAAGAAACAGTGTATAATAAACAGGTCTGTTAACTTAATGTTCAGCAGTGACTCACGTTTCATACTTTCATTTTCCTGTTGTAAAAAGAATTGGAAATTCTTTAGCTTGATGTGGTTAAAAGAATATTTGGTAACACTTTGGATAAGCAATCACTAATTAACAACTAACTAAATGCTAATAAATGCTCTAGTTCCTTAGACCTAACCCCTATTTTAGCTCTAACCCTAAACTTAGCTTAGACACACGTTAGCACTTTCTTAGCTGCTAATTAGTGTGGGTCAAACTAGAGACTACTAAAACTAGAGTGACCAAATATTTTCAGTATTCATAATCAAGTACAGACAAAGCAGAGGAACTCAAGCTTTGAATACAAGGACACTACAGGATTACTCTACACACACTTTGACTAATCAGAACACAACTTTGATAAAAGCTGAGGTACATCATTTTCTAACCACAAAAAAATGATCTATGTTATAAAACTCCTACCTCGCTCTCAAGACACTTTGGTTCTACTTCTAGTTTTCACATGCATGTATTTTTGCCTCTGTCATATCTTTAGACAAGCCTCTTCAGACAAAAAAGTGAAAAATGGAGGACCACCCTCACTCAGCCAATCAGCTCTTTCCCCAAAGAGTCAAATAGTTTAGTATGCAAAAAATGTTTTCAAATGAGATGAAGACAGCATGTTTTTTGTTCAGGAAATGTTACTTATAAGACTCTTTATGTCTGACAAACAAAACATGCAGTTTGGTGGTAAAAGTTCCTAAAACCAAGTGAGATGCCCCAAAAACGTGGATTTGAGTTCCAAGCTTCAAGTAGATAAAAATTTGATGTTTGAGGAGACCATAAAGGGTTAAACTGTTATGAGTAAATATTTAAAGTCCTTTCTCACCAGGAGCTGCTGCCGGGCCACACAGACCCCGTCGGCGCTGCCCTGGATGAGCAGTGTGGGGGGGCTCTGAGGGGCGCTGAGGTCCGGGAGAATGATCTGCGTTTGTGTTTGGTGCATGACGCTGAGAAAGTGGGTCCCGTTCTGCCCCAAGAGGAAGAGGTGCTGCTGCGAGGTCACGTCCAGCTGCGTGCTCAGGACCCCCGGCCCCACGTCCGAGCCCAGGAGCAGCTCCAGCAGGACACAGGCGGCTTTCTGACGGAGAGAGGCAACACACGCAGGCTTTATGGAGATTTATGAGAATGTTTTATTCTTTTCACATTTATGAATACAAACTGATACAAACACAACCAACACACAGAGACAAAACATCTAAACCTTCCACATATATTCTTCTACTATGTTCAGAGCACTACCCCCTGCTCCACTACTTTGGATTATACAAATTATGCATCACCAAATTTATTGTAAAACTGACCGTAACACCGACTCACTCCCACTCCCACTTTTTCAAGCTGCTTTTAACTGTAGTCTAATTTGTATTTTAACTTGTATTTTTACTAGTGTTTCTAGTGTTTTAACTTGTATTTTTACTAGTGTTTCTAGTGTTTCAACTTGTATTTTAACTAGTGTTTTAACTTGTGTTTTAAATAAATGTACTTTCTACTTGTGATGTATTGCAATCTTGAGTATCGAGAAAGACGCCAAAGAAATGGAATGTATTATTATTATTATTATTATTATTAACCGTCACTCAAAATCTTTTGTGCCAACCACTATTAAACTGCTGAACTATCTGTAGCCTGTTGGCGACATGGACTTCGGTGTGTGTTTGTGTGTTGTATTGTGTTATTTTGTTTGTATAGAATCCCCTTCATATCATATCACTTAAGTTACTAGTTTAGGAAGGTTCTTCTTGTCTTCTTAGTGGAAATGATACAGGTCTTTGGTTCTTCTAAACCAGACAGTAGTAAGTTAGCTTTCATGATTTTAATGTTTTAATGTCTTTAATTACCTGTGTGTTAATTGTGTTTTTAAAGGTGATTTTGGTGTTTGTTTTATGAGAAGATGTGTGCCTTGTGTGATGTGGACTGTGAGCGCTTTGTGTTTCCGTGTGTAGGAAAGGCGCTCTACAAATAAAGATTGATTGATTGAATGGCGATGTTATTACCCTGACATGTTTCGACAGTATACTTCTGTCTTCCTCAGAAGCGTTGCTCATGTTACTGTTTGACACTTCCTGTGTTTCTATGTTTTTCTGCTCTATGCTAATAATGAATTGCCCCTGGTGGGTTAAATAAAGTTGTCTGAATCTACTTTGATCATTTAGGATAAGATAACACTTTGTTGATCTCACATTGAAAAATGTACATGTTACATTTGGCAAAAACAATGAAATATAAGGTAATTAATGCTTGTTTCAAGTGATTGTTTGTGTGTTTGTGTGTGTGTGTGTGTGTGTGTGTGTGTGCGTTTGTGTGTGTGTTGTGTGTACTTGTCTCTGTGTATATTATAAGAAACTACTTAAAGGTGCCATATCACGCTTTTTGACTTTTCTCTGCTTAAAACATGATTAAAGCGCTACTTGGTTTCATAAACCTGCCCAGAGAAGTTTTTTCATGATTTAGTTAGAGAGCGATCTTTCTCTTTCATTCTGAAGAGGCCATGAAACACCCGGGTCACATCTATAACGATTTCAACATCAAAGACAAAGATGACACGCAGAAGCTCGTTTATTTATAATGGTAAAATGTTTTCAAAACAAGGATTACAACCCATAAAAAATGTTCTGTGTGTTGTCCAAAATAAAAATCGACACCGTGAATCACGGCACACAGCTTTTCCCGAGTCCAGCGTACAGTATGTCTATGGTATGGTCCTGTTTTTCTGCTTTTGTCAACTTGGACAAAATGTATTTTTGGTGAAAATATGTGACGCACTCTTTGGCCACTTTTTTTCACAGGAATCTGCCTCTGAAATCCATGATGAATCTGTTCATCTGCAACACTTCACTAAGACTGTTCCAGAACAACAATTGAACTGGACTTACTCAAAAACTGATTTGGAAACCAGTGTTATTCCCACTATAAATTGGCGTATACTTCTGTAAACTACAATACAATACAATACAATACAATTTATTTTTGTTTACCCCTAAATCACAACAGAAGTCATCTAAGAGGACTTAATACATGTTGTAGAATGCTAAAGTGTCCTGGATCATCACCACAGTCCTTCTAGTTGGACACTAACTGTCCAACAGACCCTCCTGCTAAATAATTAGGGTCTGATTCTGGATCAATAACATGGGGCTAGATGTGACGGATTGCCATTGTTGGAATAAGTGTATTCTCAGGTCTGAAATTACTATGTACCAGCGAATATGAAGAGTTTGATTTGGAGATAAACAACTCGCAGCGTGACCTATGTGACTGCGTGGGCGGGGGAGGCGGGCTCACGGACAGATGAGCAGACTCCTCTCTGGATCAGCCTGTTTGATCACCTCTATGCAAGAGTTAGCTATAATCTCAGAAGTTTTGAGTGCTGTATGGTATGGCATTGGAGCTTCCTCTACAAACAAGTTTTAATAAATATACAACCTCTAGCAATATTAAAGGTGCCATATTGGGCTCTTCTTCATGTTTACAGTCCATCCTATGCACATGTCTGCAATGATTAGTCTGACCCCTTTTCAAACAAATATTGTTGTTTGTTTTTGTATCTTCTTTATTATTATTAATTGTCTTCTGCGTGCACAATTTTGAATAACATATACTTAATACTAAAAATTCTACTATGTCTTGTACCTTGACATTTTCTGCGTTTCCCTGCAGCCCCCACACGGTGCAGCTGCTCCCATAGAGTCCAGGCTGAGTCTGAGGAGCTGCCCTGAAGCTCACACTTACGCCCAGAGACTGCACCACCTGCTGGACGAGCGGGGAACTGACGTCGGGCAGAGGCTGAGGCGCCAGGCTCACGGGCAGGTCGAAGGACAGGGCCAGGGGCTGCAGATCCTAGACCGGCATTTACACAGTCAAACACAAGGAAAAGCTATACAGAAATCTGAAAATAGGGCAAGACAAAGGGTGGCTTCTTGACAAATGGACCTGTCGTAGTTCCAACATAAACTCTATTATTGATCTGCGTGTGCTGACACCAGTGGCCAAATTGAGTTTTCAGAAGAAATATTTCTCTTTTGTCTGCAGAAATGTTACACACGCCACTTACTCTAATCCTTTTGCGTGCTTCTTCCACTCCATCTACGGGCCCAGCTATAGACACCTGCAAAATAACACAGACTGAGGTCATTACTTTCATTAGTGCAGTGAGAGAGCCATTGATATTGTACCTGGTTGCTTTTCTCTCCGGATGCATTGTGCCGATTGGAATCAGGAAAGTGAATATGACAAGACGTGACCTCCATGACCCTTTTAATGTTTCCTCCTCCCTTTCCGATGACATGGGAGTGCTCGGTGTACGCCACGTCCATCTTTAGAGTTACCTTGTTCACCTAGACGGTCGGATCATAATATTATTGTTTTGAATCACTCCCCATAATCAGCAGGCTTATAACAGAAAACTATAATTAAATGCAAATGTCAATGTGTTTACTCAGTGGCAGCGGCTGCATACAGTGATTGTAATTGGGGTGAAGAGGTTAATGCGACGTTTTAAAACAAGAATAGATCATCATTTGTATCATTATTGTGCCATAATATGAAAGTTGTTGTTATCGTAAAACATTTGCAAATAGATGAACTGCAGCCATGTTTGTTTTTTATTTTATTTTTATTTTGGGAGGACCATTTTTAATTGCTTAAAAATATGACTTATTTTTTTCAAATCTGCAAAACACAATTGAATCGAATCATCGAACAGACGCAGATTTACTGATACGGGTTTGAGCAGGGGTTGGATAAAGCAGACGTTTTATCCCATCCTCCTCTCACCCAACAACTTTTTTTTTGGCGAATATATATAAAAGTCATGTATTCTTGTGGTTTTAAAGTGAAGGTCAGTTTACTTTTCAGACTGTGAAGATGTGCGACGTTATTCCAATGAAGCGACAGTTCGACCCGCCCCCACAGGTTCCTGATTGGACGCAATGAATTCAAATCCTTAATAGAGAGCTGAGGCTTCTCCCCATTGGTTTAACTAATCTCCTCCAGTAAGTCTTACTGGTTAGGCTTATTCCACGTATAGGGACTGTGTATTATGAAAAATACATAATGCAGATGACACTACAAGATCAAAGGGTAAAAAATATGTATCACTGTCTAAATCAAATACAGTAGAAGTTGCAGACATCCCCTTTAAGAACCATGAAATCAGCTTGTGCAACGAAGAGAATGTTGCAACAGTATTGTACTTTTGTATTGGGTTGGCAGACAGCTTACATTACTGAGCCATTAAGCACACCTGTATATAAACCACACAAGCTTCATTCTTGTCCACACATCGCCCACACTTCAACCAACAGCAGCTGGAGCAAAACAAAGCTGATCGACGACGTTTTAAATGGTCGTCTAACATGGTTTAATGTTGAGGTGTTTTAAAGCGTAGTTGACTCGTGATGATCAAAGCACTTTGGTAAATCAAATCCAGCCCATTTTGAAGATAAATCTGTGTCTCGCCTCTACTAAATCTTGAAAAAAACTCCACAAACTGTTCTGAGAGTAGGTCTAACTAGTCCTGTGTATCTCCCTGGTCTTCCTTGCGTCGCCTCTCTCTAGGGACAGCGATGATCCAGGACATTTTGGGACATTTATGGACATTGGTCAGTCATTATGGACAAATGACTTCTATGTGCTTGTTATTATCTTTGATCTTTGTTGTTGGCGAGTCGACAACCTTGTTAAGTCCTCAGAGACGACCGCTGTTGTGATTTAGGGCTACACAAAAATAAATGGAATTGAATTGTGCTATTTCCGCTAATTGGGAACCACAATAAAGAAACAATCAAACCAAACAAATCATTAACAATATGATTAAAAGATTTCTTACCCTTGTTTCAAGAACTTCCAAAATCATCCTCTTGGCTTGTAAAACGCTGTCTCCTTTTCCTTCAACTTTCACGTGTGGATCTATAAGATAAGATAAGATAAACTTTATTGATCTCACAATTTACATGTCACATTTGGCATACATAGAAAAAGACAGAAGTGTGCAACATGTCAAAGGTTAAAAATATAGTCTGTGCAGGATATAGTTATGTAAAATAATAAAAAAGTGGCAATAGCAGTGCTGCTTCTATGTCGAAAGAGGATTCACAGTCACTAAATGTTAAAGTTTACATACAATTGAATCTAGTTTTAGGAAATGCAATTGAAAGCCACATGAGAAGTGTTTTGGCACCTTTCTTTGACTTAGCCCCGATCTTCAGCTTTGATGGCCATTTCACCTGTGTCCCGGTCTCCTGCATCACCTGTGGAGCAGGAGAGACAATGGGTGAATAATAAGTTTCATTCAACTCACTCTGCGGCAGTAATCAGCAGACTGGTAAAAAATGGGGCGAGACGCAGAGCTGATATCAATACAATGCCTGATTTGCATTTGAAACAGCCAAATTATCTCCCACCATAAACTCTCTAATCACAGGATACAGACTCTGGGAAATGCAGCCGAGTTTTGGGGCTGATTTTGAGGCTTCATTTACCGGGAGCGTTAATGATGAGGTGGAAGAAAAGGTTATTTCTCTTTTGTTCCGAATTGTTCGATTAAATATAATGCTGTGTGTGGGAGGAAAACTCACTCGCTGGAAAAACTCTTCTCCCGTCTCTGTGCCATCTGTTTCTGGAGCTGAAAGACATGAATTATGTTTGTTTAAAAGGAAAAGGACGAACGCAAATAAATAATTGAGCGTCCTTGGTACTTTAAAGACATCTACAAATGATTTTTACACAATCTGTGTAATCAAGAAACTATGAAAAACACAAATATTTTTAAGAAAAATAAATTCTTATAATTGGAAAGACAGATCAGTTTTTTCATACAAACATCACATAAATATTAAACAGATCTGTCTTCGGGAACAAGGTCTACATGCACTAACCCGAACTGGCCTTTTCTGGTGGAAATGTTAACGCTGATGTAATCCATACCGTAATTGCAGAACTTACTTTAAGACGCTACTTTTTTCAATTTCTTTAAACTGCGGCGTATATAGCAATGTGGCTAATGTTTGTATTTTTATTGAGTATGTCCTGAGGAGCAGGAAAGAATTTGGACTGTGGTTTATGTTTATGTGAACAGTAGAGAGAGACACGAGGAGATGCACTGAATTCAAAGGACTAGTTTTTAGGCTGTTGTCAGAGCAGATATTATGAACTTAATATTTTGACTCCATCAGGCTCTCAAACATGCGGCTACATACACGGGCAATATGCGGCCTGCAATAAGGTTTTTTGTGGCCCTTAGTGGACACACTGCAAAAATGATCAAATATGAGATAATAATTGCTTGAATCGAGGGGTTTTTATCTTAATTTCATTTCATTCTGACTGTTTTAAAACAAGATTTGCCAATGAGACAAGCAATTTTGACTTGATTCAAGAACTATTGCTTGATTTTCTCATTACAAGGAAGAAATGTCTTGTATCTTTTTTAAAACAAGATAATTTTTCCTGTTCCATTGGAAAACCTTGTTTTAAGGCAGTCAAAATGTTCTCAAATTAAGATACATTTAGCCAAATTTGAGCATTTTTTGTCTTTAATTCCATCATTTTTTGCAGTACATCAATTTTTACTGTCAGAGTGGCCCCCACATAGTCAGGGCTGATATGGCATGTTATACATCACTTTAAAGCTAACTCAAGAAGTAATAATTAAAAGTAAAAAAGTAAATACTATGCAGCCCAGCAGTCTACAATACAAAGACTCATTGCCTTTGATCCTGTTTTGTTTCAATCCAAGCTGCTGCACTCATTTTCTTCAAAGAAATATAAAAATCTAAACTTGTATTCAATAAGAGCCTTCATGATGATATGAAGTCACAGATGCAAATGATGAGCTATAAACAAACTTTCAACAAATGCTTTCCCTGCTTCAGTTCTACAAACGTTTACTTCATCAACCGTTATTATTAAAGAATGTGAAGATCAGACTGTTTGAAAAATATGGATTTTTTTTCAATCCAGGATCTAAGCTGTGTGTGGAGAGTAAATAGCGTGTGATGTCTCAGAGGCTTAATTCTACATTTGCAAGTGCAGAGATCAGTTTGTGCAAGCTTTATTTAAACTACGGCTTTCACAGACCAAGGCCACAAAGTACTTCATAGTAAAAGCAGATCAAATACAAGTTAAAATACAATTTAAAATGTGCATACAATATTTTAATAACAAGAAATTATAAATGCATCAATAGTTCTTTCGTTTTTTTCAGATGTGGAAGTGTGTAAAATAAGCGGACAAAACTAATCTAATGATCTTCGTAAAAGTGAAGTGATTTGTAGAGATGGTCATGGTTTGGACTTTTTGCTGATTTACTGGTTTTATTTTGCTATTTTTAGTTCTGTGTTATTTGTTGTCTTGCCCTGTTCCCTGTTGATTGTCTGCCCCGTTTATATGTTCCTTGTGCTCTTGCTGGTCCATTGTAATTTGTCTGTGGATTTACCCCGAGTCCTGTGTTCAGTTTGAGATGTTTGGAGTTTTATTTTCACTTTGGACTTTCATTTCATTTTGAATTAATTTTATATAACATTTCTGCATTTTAAGCTTCTTTCACAGCGTGACAGGGATACCGTTTCCTCTATTGATTCTTCAATAGAGATAACTCATTAACTGAACTTGGCTTAGCTGTGCATAAGACTGATTACTTCCCACTTATATTAAACAATGTTAGTATTTTATTGCATACACATACAGTATTTAACTTGATTCTAATTTTGTTTTAGTTGTGTGATATTAACATTTCTGTATGGTAAACATTGTTTTGTTAAACGCATTGTAAAGCACTTGATTGAATTGAACCAATATCCAACCCCCAAAAAAGTCAAATATCGCTGCCAATATGAGATACCAGTATTATATCAGTGCAATTCTAGTACCTTCACTGAAAACGGCTTGGAAGGTTCTAAGTAAATAAATACATTCACTCATTGGAAGAACCTCTTATTAGAAGCCTTAAACATAAAGAAGACATAATTAACTTTTTACATGCATCTGTGAATAGATTGAGTTGACATTCCTGTAGTATTTGTAGTATTTGTAGTATTTGTTGTATTCGTCCTGGTCAACAGCCACCTTCTCCCTCTGCTGCTCAACACGGGGCCTGTGTACGAAGTCAATACTAAATGTTGACCGGCTGCAATTTTCTCAAAGCGTGAATAAGAGGCTGCCGGGAACACAGGTCCCTTTTAAAAGGCCATCTCAGTGTTGTGACATTTACAGGGGGCGAAAGTGGAGCCCCCGAACACTCCCTCGCCCTCCCCATCGCCCCGGTAACACAGGACAGTCCTGAAGAATGAACGGGACAACAGTCAGGGGAGGAGAAAGGGGAACCGGTGCTGCTCCGAGCCCAGAACCACAAATCAGCCCAGAGACGGGTCGTATCGTCTGTGGCATGTGGTGACGCAAAGACCTCCCACTGGATTTAAAAACACAACGGGTGAATAACGTGGAGCAAAGTCAAATAAAAAAAAAGTAGATCAAGTTTGTTGTCATGATACTAGAGAGTGCTAAAAGACCAACTCCAAATACTGTCTCAAATATGTCTCGTAGATGGAAGAAACAGTAACATGGCAGATAAAGTTCAGTACAGCTTCACATGCTACTAGGGTTGTCAAAACTCTAACTAAATATTCATAAACCCTTATTTGACCAGGAAAGTGTTCTGGAGTGCTCCTCGGGGTGGGTGTTATGGGGGACTATTGTATTGTACTTTTTTTAGTAGTCGGGGTAACCGGAGCACCCAGAGGAAACCACAGACACAAAAACATGTAAAGTCAACACATAAAGGACCTAGGACCTTCTATACTGTGACACACAAGAGCTAATCACTGCGCCACCATGCCACCCCTTCAGGTAGATTAAATTATGAAAATCATTGAAATTTCTAATTTCTTTGAAAATATAAGCAGTAAATGACTTGACCTAAGAAAATATAAAAAAACAAAGAAAATGTTTTTGACAGTAGAGTAACCAGGTGAACTAAAATGCTACTTACAATACAACATGTGCTCCAGCTTCTTCCTGTCAATCCTGAACCTCTCCTCCACCCACTCGGGGTCCCTGTCCTGTCCCGTGGCTGGGGTCCCGGGGGCGAACGCCTCTTCCTCTTCATCTCGGTCCTTTGGGTCAGCACTCGGGGTCTCCGGGGGCTCGGGGTGGGCCTCAGGGTCGGTCTTGAGATCGGGTCTGGGACTAGTTTCATTCAGTTCTGCAGTGGATGTAACAGCAGTAGTAGTAGTAGTGGCCATAGCAGGACAGATCCCTTGTCTGTGTGTGTATGTGTGTGTGAGTGGGTGTGTGTGTGTGACCATAGAGACCAGACGGGACAGAAAAAGGGGAAAGGAGCCAGAGACACCCCCTTTTGACTTTTGTAAACCCGCCTCTTTCACTTAATCAAGACAACAAATTCAGCTTTTACTGCAGGCTTTCACTCTGAGGGTTTTACCTATTTTTTAAAAAGAGATTGAAACTCTTTTAACAGCAAGGTTAATGAAGTCTGTACCTAATAATCATTTAGCATAGTCGTTTTTTATTTTGTTGTCAGATTTCCCTTTGATATATCTCAAAATTAGGCTAAAACTGCGCAAAAATGTTGTTTCTGTATACTACATTTTATATCAATACTTCTTTTGACAACCCCAATTTTCTTTTTGCAAATTTACCTTTGAACATAGCATGAATTTTCTTAAAATACGTTTTGATAGCTCACATTACTCATATTCACCTAAATTGGAATCTTCTGAACCAACAAGTAGTTGGTAGAGCATTGACTTTTGGGCCTGAAGGTCATGGGTTCGATCCCCCTGCGAGACCTACTAAAACTGTTCCCAGTCATGTCTGCTGCCGTTGTGTCTTTGGGCAAGACACTTAACCACACGTTGCACAAAGCCTCCGCAGAAACACCAAGGCTGTGATGGACTCACCACCTGCCGGAGGATCAGAGCTAGGAGCATTGGGTGGCAGCTCTTATTGCCACCCCCCTGACCCAGAAATGGACTAATAAAGGGGTATAAAATGAAATAAAATGAAAAAAAGAACCAACAAGTATTAATATGTCCATATAAAAAAGATTTTTTGGTTTACCATTAGTGTATTTTAATCAATGATGCTTACAGTACTTACGATACTTACAGATACTTACTCATGTTTGGGAGGAGTGCATGAAGCTGATGTTTGATGTGTTGTGCACGTAAACCCAGAGCAGTTCCTCTGTGTTTGGAGCAGGCCTGAGCCGCTCAGCGTGAGGCTGCTCCTCACTGCAGCACTCTCAGCTAAACAAACAGCTCGCACATCTGCACGTAGACAACAGTTCTGTTTGTCTGAAGAAGGCTTTAAATATAAAGGTCACAACACGTCAAGTCAGAGGAGGAAGACCGAGGTGCAGGCTCCATGGGGAGTCACCAGGACAATACCAGTGCTGGATGCTGCTTTCTGTCAAAATTCAAATTCAAGAGTTTCACAGAGCCTTTACAGAAAAAAAACCTTCTTATTTAGGTTCATAGACCTTTTTCAACAATGCAAAAATGTTCATAATGATACCACTTTATGTTTATTTGAAAATATAATGTATGTATATTATCAGTAAGCAATTATGTTATTTTTAGGGCTGTCAAACGATCAAAATTTTTAATTGAGTTAATTACAGCTTAAAAATGTATTAATCGTAATTAATCGCATTTCGAACTATCGGCAAAATGATGCAATTTTGTCTGTAAATGTTTGTTTGAATGGAAGGATAAATGATGACATAGTGTACATATGTACTGTATTTTTTTATTATAACAATAAATCCACATAAAATGGCATTAACATTAATAACATTCTGTCTTTTTGTAGTAGACACTATTTTTTCATCTCAACATATTCCGGCTCTGCTAAAGCCTCCTCCTCCTTCTTCTCTGTCTGTGGCTGTTGATGCTCATTCATTATTGTCTCTACAAACTATTGTTTGTTACAGGGATGAGGGATATTTGAAAACAGTCTGAAATGCATGTCAGCCAATGGTTGTCATTAACTCTGTTTTATTTGCTCACAACATTTCATTTTTGGCCACAAATAACATGAAATAGTGTGCAAAGGAAAAGTTAGGTATAGCGTCTTTTTTGCTTCGGGAGAAGACACGGGGGAGACGGACGGTTTCTTGCAGCACTGTTTTTATTGGGTGCACTGGTCACGCCTGTGCGTGATCAGTGCACACAGTGGTCCTGTGCGTGTGTATGGAATTGGGTACATGGCCACGCAAGGCTGCGTGTTCCCGCGCTGTTAAGCCGCTCACAGCTGCTGGACGCGGGAGCCGCTGGATTCCAAAGCTACTACAATACTACACTTATCACATCTATCACTACCATCAGAGGAGGATCCGGGGTTTAAACTCGTCATATTGCAACTCGAGCAGTAAAGGACCGAGGGAGAGACAGCGGCAGTCATAGGGGTAGCGAGTTAGCGGCTAGGCTAGGCTAAGCTAGGCTAGGCTAGTCCGGACTCGGTCCGGACTACAGCAGACTCCGAGACCAGACAAACAATCGATACTCAAACCTCAGCTACAATAATAATAAATGAATCAAACACAGTCTTGATACAATCACAGATTTATTGAAAACAAAAGTAAAGAGCAAAACCAACAGTTTACAAAGTCAAAAGTACGTATGTCTGAGACCAGGTCCAAAACCAGGTCCAGATGAGAATACTCCGGTCACTCATTACTCGTTGGTAATCTCCTCACTTATGGGAAGAGATTCTCATACAAATATACACACAACAACTTAAATACAAGCACAAAAAGTACTCAAATCTCCCATACCATCCACTAGTGGAAACGCAAAATAACCGTGTTGAAGCGTACTGTACTGTACCGTACTGATACTGTGGAAAAGCGGCAAAAGTGGCCGCAGCTGTCCCAGAACGCTGCGGACTCCCATTCACAGCAATTGCCCCGTGGTCACGCGCGCGTTATTTTATGTTATTTTGTGTTTTGCGTTATGCTGCGTGTGTATTTTCTTGCACAGGTGCTGGGGAAGCTATCTCTGATAAATGCATAGGGTATATAATTTTTCTGTGTACTTAGTTTTTGGGCTGTCAGTGCATTTAAGGCTAAAATCCTATGGCTCAGCTAAGATGATGTATTATTTTTTGTCATGATTGAGAGACAAGACTTTATCATGTATTTCTTATGTTTATCTCAAAGAATAGATTTATCTGATCTTGTTTGAGTGCTCTTATTCCTACTCCTGTATCGATGACACTGTGGGAAGAATAAAGGTTCTCTTTTCTTATTGTATAAAGAACAAATACTATGCTAACTTTTGTCCAATCACCATTGTAATGATTTACTTCATCATATGTTTTAGTAAATAATATCTTGAGTAGAAAATAAACGGTGTAACAAAGATAAAGAGTAAAACATGCTTTTTGCTTGTAACTCCCTTTGCTACCACCAGAGGGAGGAGTCTAATACAATTCAGGGCTCCACATTAATAGATAAATTAAAGATTTGGGACGGACTTGTGCACTGTCTTAGCAAATGGCCCGATCGGGCAGGTGATGAATTTCTACATTTTTCGACATTTCTACTTCTAGAGCCAGAAGCGGACACGTCTGGTTATCTTTTTTAGACCAATTATCTTCATTGGTCAATTTTCTGGACCAATTAAATGCATCAGGATATACCAGGGATGAAAATTTTCTGTGGAGCCGTGATTTTCGATGCTGTAGTTTGCTGTACGTACTCCAACGAGATTTACATCCTCCGTTCTGACCCCGGGAGAAACTGCGGCGCTTTGTAATGACAGTGGAACATGAATTCGTTTTGGCACTGTCAGCAACGCACAGCCGTAACGTGGTACAGAGCGCGGACCGAACCATATACGCGCGTTCAGGACCATCCCCAGCTTGTTGCAAGTGCGGATCTCCCACGTGTCTCGTACCGAAGCGCAACCAAAATTCCCAAAATTAAAGCTAGGATACCTACATTTTCCCTTGCATTAACAATGCAAATTGGTTTTAAAAAAGGAAATTATTGTGAACCAATCAAACAGAACACACCACAACAGGCCACTTTGGTTTTTTTATTTTTGCGTATTCATTATTTGACATTTTGGGCGTGGAGCGTGAGAGTGGATTGTTTATATTTTTTTCCACACTGTTTCTGCTACTTTATTAGCAGGTACTTGCCCAAAGACAAATCTTCTTTTTAAATGCAGGCCTTGGCATGGCCTGCAATGGTAAAGAACATGATTTCACCTGAGAAAGTGCCAAAACTTATTTATGTTCAGATGCTCTAGGTTTGATGTCATAGTGGTATAATGACAACATATTATTACAGTACTGAGACAGGAGAAGGGGCGGAGCTACATGTTAGTGCAAGAAGTTCTTGTATTTTGGAAATCATTTTCATCTTTCTTTTGCTTCACTGTTCAGATTAATTTAACTGTCAATCCAGAAGACTCCACATTTAATTTATTCCATTTAAATATAAAAGTATGTGTTGGGGATTAGTGTAAAAAAAACAAGCACATTTCTGTTGGGCTGGTCTTTGGCAGATCAGAAATGTAATGAATATCACTAAATCGGCCAAATAGAACATACCACATCAGAAAACAAACGCCTCCAAAGAAAATAAGGACAGTAATAGGTCTGTGAGGAGACGAGCAGTATTAGTAACACTTTATATAATTCTAGGACACATAAGGCCTCGGGCTGTGCAATAAATATTTACTTCTCTCCCTAAACTACTGCAGGCAAAATCTGTAGCCTGAGGAGGGAAGTGACTGAGCGACTTGATATCTGTGTCGTCATGGCAACCACACAGCAGCCTGTGTTTATGCTCTGAAGTCTGATAATCACAATGTCAAAGACTCAGATGGAGTGTTACTGAGTTTCACATCATATTGCAGCATATGAATTTGTTTTTCATAAAATATATGAATAACGTTGCACTTATCTTGAGATAGGAGTGCGTACAATGTGTTTTAGTCACAAACAATCAGTGTCCAGCTGTGAGAGATTTATCCTTTTGTTGTTTTTTTTCTGTAATTCTCACGTTGCGGCACAGCAGGGCAGTGGTTAGCGCTTGGGCTTCTCAGAAGGTCCTGGGTTTGATTCCAACTCCATGAAGGGAGTGTATAGTTTGCATGTTTTCCTCCGGTTTCTTTCGGGGTCTCCGTTTTCCCCATACCAATAATAACATTTACAATGCGCTTTCTGGCTATCCTGCTTCCATCACTGTGTGGAGAGAGAGGAAAAATGCCCTCAACAAGAGTAAAGTGCTTTGTGACTCTGTGAAAAGCACTTTATAAATAAAAAAAATACTTACTTACTTTTATGATAAAATAATTATTACATAAAAGCAACAATTGGGGACCTTTAAGGTTGAATGAACTGTATTGTCCATCACAGTGGATAGAAGTGTCTGCATATCCACACAAATATGTCATTGTCAGGAAATGGATGGCATTTGGAACAAATGGGTTTCAGCATTTAGTCTAACAATATTGTTTCTACAGCATTAATTGAAATACAACGAATGTTTGAAATTCATATTTTCAGTCGGCTGTGGATTCGGAATGTGTTCCTTGAATGCTGTGAATGCTTCAGATTTTAAATGAGATAGAAAAATGTACTATGAACATGCATCGGCCTTTCCAGAAGTCAAATCAACAACCTAAAGCACATATCAACACACTGCAGAAAAGAAAACAACAACATTATAAAAAATCTTTTGCTGTAACTGTGAGTCACTACTGGACTGAGCGAGGGTGGTTCTCTCTTTTTCACTTCTCTGGCTGAAAAGCGGATCTAGATGTGACAGAGAGATGACACCAACCTGTTTTGAAGCCAGGAGTTAGTTTGATTTGGAAAGGATTTTAGTTTCACTGAGGTTTGGAAAGTAAAGTACCGCAGCATTAAAGAAAAAAAAAAAAGTATGACAATAGAGCGCCAGTATCTGTCCACCAAATGTACTCACGTAACAAGTTCAGAGAGTGATGTGTATTTATCTAGTTGTAAAATTGACGGTACAAAAATGTAAGTAAACACTTAAGACTACAAACATACACATGTCTGTCGGTGCTCGCAATTGTGTATGTTGTTCCTTAATCTGGCCACTAGAGGGCACAACGCATCACTGTGTTGATATTTTTTATTTACTACTTAATTTAATTATTTTTCATATGTGCGGATTATAAAATGTCATTTTCATTATATATTATATATATAATGTTCCTATTATTGAAACAGATGCATAATAATAAATGTAAAAATCGTTGTTGTTGCGTCACCCGATTCACTTCCGGGTGTGTCTCCCTGGTGTCTCCCCACTCGGGTCCCGTGACACTTATGTTTTATTTACATTTATGCGAAACTAACCTCATCCATCTATATTCTGCTGCTATAGCTAACTGTGACCATGAGTGCAAGTGACGAGGACTTTTCTTTAATCACTGGTTACGGTTAAAACCATAAAGACACGAACCATGTGGAGAGTTCAAGGATTGTTGGGAAGAGGTGAGACCAATGACATTCACACTGTATACATTAACAGCGTGTGTGTGTATTTATGTACCTAACTCCGTGGATTATATGGTTGCACTACTTTTTATGATTTTTGAAATAAGCTTAAATTAACTCTTAATTGACAATGTGTGAGATCGTTTTAAATAGTGAATGCTCATAGATGTACACCAGAGTAGTCCAGTTTATTTTTGTTTAGGGATCAAGTTACACTCGTCTGTGATGTTAAAAATAAGACTGATCCAGAAATATAGTTACCTCTAGTTAAATTCATGCATAAAGTTGGAACATAATCCACCACAATCTTGCAAAATATTAAGATTTTTAATCATCAGTATCCTTTTCCATGGAAACTATATCTCTGTATCAGCCTAGAAGTCATGGCACACTCATGAAGTTAAAGTACTTCCTAAGTTAAATTAAGTGTTGTATAAATATATATCTGTTATTTGTTTATACTTATGGATGTTAACATGGTGTTTGACCTCTTTTGTGATGATGATTCTTGATTGGCTACTTAATAATATAACGCATGCAGTTAAATTTATGAAGGCTATTGTTTCCACCATAGACTCAATATCCCTATTAAAATGAGAGTCTGCTTTTGTTTGCAGTTTTACATCGATATCATGCCAGTGGCCCCCTGCGTCTGCCCCAGAACCACCATGTGGAGGATGAAGTTCTCAACACATCATCTCTACTGCCCAACTCAAGACAGTCCTCGGACAGCAGGTATATTTTAAATACGTTGTGTGTCAAAGCCAAATATATATACATGCCTTTTTTTATTGTTAATTTATAGTTCGATACTTATTTTTCTAGTTCCCAGAGACAAGAAGACGGCGAGAGGAGGAGGAAACAGAGGACATCGCACTTTTCATTTGCAAATCTCCCACGATACACCGCTCTAGATGCAGTGGGATGGGTAAGGATGTCTACCTGCAATTACACAAATATTATACATATTTGTATTTACTTTGTGTTTATATAAGAGCGTTAATTAAGCATGTTTTGATGGCCCAGTATTAAACTAGATGAATCTCTAATCTCAATGTTATGTATGAAATATAATCATAAGGAAATTTTTGGTGTGTGTCTTATCCACAGGGGGCAGCAGCTGTCTTGTTCATGCAGGTGTGCAGGAGGATCCACTCCCAGTTCTCCACTGGGTCCGACCATCGTCCCACAAAAGGAGCCCTGACCGAAGCCTCCACCTTGCACAAATGTGGCTATCGCATCTTGCTTGAAACATGTAATAATTTCCTACATCTATAGCAGTCCCTCACGATATCGCTGTTCACTCACTGTTTTGCAGATTTTTACAATTACAATTATTTAGCGTGCTTCCCAATACTGCTACTCCAACAACATCTTATAACGCTAGTGTGACATGACAGTTACTTTTATTGAAAGTTAAAAGAAAACTTTGTGGCTTGTGTGCACCCCAGTGATTAGTTTAGAGGACTACCCCAGTCTTTCTGTAGCCCTCAGTCCTGCTCCTGCCCCTCTGTGTAGTGTCCTCTGCAGCTGTATTTTACAGTGTATGCACGGCTTTTTACAGCTGCAGAAAAGGTCAGACACAGAACCAACATGAGTTCAAGAGAGATGAGCGCTACAGTGGGCCAATCTTAGTCAGGTGCTCATAAGAATCAGCAGTGGAAAAACACTGGAAATAAGAAGAAAATCTGAGGCACTCTTGACTAAAATAAAAATTCTTATTGAAATACTTTTATCTTCTGTCAAGAGAGCCTCAGATTTCCTCCTTTGCCGTACAAGACACACTCTATACACGTGTATAAAGCGTGAGGTGAGGGGTTTCACTTCATTAATGATAAATGAGGGACCACTGTTAAACTCTTTATAAAACTGTCTTTGTGTTTTTAGTGGTGAGGCGTGATGTCCTGCCCAGAGGAAGACGTGTTTTATGTGTGAAGGGGGTCCCAGAAACACGAACCCCAGATCAGTCCGTCCATCAGAGCAGCAGCATTGAAGATAGTTCGCTCAGTTACAATCATGAAGACAGCCTATCCGCAAGTCCCAGTCCTGAGCACCACAGGCCACTCTCAGACTGTGATTCCTCTTCATTTGGTTTGTTTTCCAACTATTTTTAACTATTTTTAACTACTTTTAGTTCTATGTCAACTATGGAACTTATCTAATGTTTATCAAGTTTGAGTGTGTAACTTTTCACTCTACAGAGGATTCTTTGCTTTCACCTTTGGATGATGTTACTAAGCACTATAAGACTGAAACTACACACGTCAATGGCCAAGTAATATCCACAACAACCACATTACGTTAGATGAGGGAATGATAGTTAAAGTAATAATAAAATGTCTGCATGTTTCCAGAATGTTTTATCAGAAGACGAGAAGCTTGAAGAAGCCGCTCACAACCTCGGACATGTGGGAGACTCCAGTGTGCCTGTTATCCTGAATATTATTGGTAAGAGACAAAGGATTTCTTATCATTCGTAGTAAGGGGTTGTCTGTGTTATTTACCTGGATGTTTTACTGCCCCCTCTTTTCCTTGATTATATTTCAAGGTTTACAAAATGCCAACAGTGACAATTATGAGGAGGCATTTACCTGCTTTCTGGCCGCAGCTCATCTGGGTTACCCTAAAGCCCAGTTTAACATCGGCGTTTGTTATGAGAAAGGTCGAGGAGTCAGCCGGGACCTGGAGAAAGTGAGGCTTAGTCCAATATGAGAACTTTAACTGAATGAATATGTCTAAATGTGCGGCGTTTTTTCAAAAGGCAATACATTACTATAGACAAGCAGCAGCTAATGGCCACGCACAAGCCCAGTATCGCTGTGCAAAGTTGCTTCTGAGCAGTAGGACGCATCTCAGTGACGACGAGCTGAAGACTGCGACTGACCTTCTAGAGAAAGCTTTTGCTGCTGGAATAACCAAGGTATAAATACATCTTGTGCATATATTTCTCAATTTGTTTAATTGTGTTTTGAGTATACAAGCATAGAGACCCCTTGGAAGTTGCTTTTCTAGTTTCATGCACTTCTCAGTCATCTCATTGATAACAGTTTAATTGCATTTTTTGGAAAACAATTTCATTACATTTCTATTTTATTGTTCTATTATACTCAGGCTCAGAAGTGCCTCGCCTCTGTTTATTCCCGTACACCTGCAATCAAGTCTGTGCAGGACCTGAAGATGGCAGCAGAGAGTGGAGTGAGTGCTTGTAGATCATTCTAGATCTACAAGATCTCTATAATAACAAACTATGCGACAAATACATTTTAGTTAATAAAGACCAAATATATATTTCATAATGCTGTTAGTATAGGAAGCCTGTATTTCTACTTCCAAATCTTATGAAGAAAAGTTTATTTAATAATAAATGGTCTCTATCTGCGCAGGACAACACTGCTCTGCTCTTTCTGGGTCAGTGTTACAGAAAAGGCCTCGGCGTTCCCCAGAATCTAAACAAAGCAGTTGATTTCTACATACAAGCAACTAAAGTGGACAACAAGCAGGAGAGGAGCCTGAAGCAGTCCAACAGTCACAAAGACACCAACAGTAAGCCCACATACTGAGTGCTGCTGGAATGACTGGCATCCACTTCTGTCCTTTTCAGTTTGACACTGCATGTGATATGATGTTAATGAGCCAATATGGCAGCGATAATGTACGGATATATGTATTAGCAACAAGTGAGAATTTATACATCAAGAACAATTGGTTTAATGATAAAGAATATTTTTAGGTTTAGTTTTATAAATGTTGGTCCTTCAAGACATATGTTTGTTTACAAGGCATGATGAAATATGTTTTTATCACTATGATATCCTGATCATCGACCTTTAACTAGTACTAACTCAAAAATTTACTAATACACACTTTCTACTTTCCAGCACAAGATGTCTTATTGCGCTCTATCCGCTCAGCTCCCTGTTTTCAACGGCCGCTTTTATCTTTGGGCATCAGTCACTCGCTCTCCTCCAGGGAGGCCCTCATACCCCACTCCTGGAGCACCAACAGCCTGTGTGTGCCCCCCACTGTGCCCCCCCTCCTTCCTCAGAGTAAAGCAGGAGGCACCTGTAAATGGACCCTGGGGATTGGGTAGTTACACTGGGGATGCTAATGTTAAGAATATGTTCGGTTGGTGAGAGCAGGGAAGTGAGTGTTGTCAATAATGTGAATGAATTCAGATTCATTACTGTTGTTTTTTACCAGTATGTTTTATAAAGCTTTTTTTAATTGTGACTTAAATGTGAGTATGTATGTAAACCGGTGTAAACTCACAAGCTTTCTGCCTCTTGGCAGCTGTGTGGGATACTCATGCCTCCTGGACACCTCCCAGGGGCGGTGTTACTGGCGTCTCCCATATAAAAGAAACCCTGAGGAGACCCATGACACGGTGGAGGGCTACACGCTATGTCTCTCAGCTGGACTGAAAACACCTCCAGATGAGAGTGTGGAGAGGAAAGTCTCCTCATCTCACCTCAGACTGCTTTATCTGCCAGCAGCAGTATGAATTGGATGGAAATGCTGTATACAGCATGAAGCTATTTTGCTGGAGCTACATCATACCCTGAAAAGTGCTATTATTGTTATTAAGGTCAAATTACGTTGGATTGTATTTTTTTCTGTATGCCAAAGTTAAACGCACACAATAAAACTTTTATATTTGCATTGATGTTAAGAGTTTTACATATAATAACCTTCTTTCACTGCTCAGTGTGACTGAAGAACATGTTTATTGAATTTCTTCACATTCAGCAAAATGCACATGGCTTTATTTAAAGTAGAAAACATGATTTTATTTATTTATTTCTATTTTGTTATAAATGTGGCTGCTCCTCCCACTGCGCCCCCTGACCACAGACTGTCCCCTGACGTAGCAATGCGTGATGTGTGTTTGATGAGCAGTCGTAATATGAAAAGGTAAGTCTTGATTGTGGATGCGTCTCCTCCGCGTGAGGCGCGTCCTGACTCCGCGGCTCTGATTGGTCAGCGAGGGCACGCTTCACACTGGCGCAGAGAGAGTGCGCAGTTTGGACGCTGTCGAGCACGGGGCTGATGTGATGTGATCTCATACGGGTGACGGCTGGAGCTGTGCGGGCGGACTGGACCCTTAAAAGCCGCTGTCACTGCTCCACACTCCTGCGGTCGTGTCCTGCTGCAGACGTCCCGAGGCGCCGCGGTGAGTTGGATGTAAATACAGTCGCTGTGCTCGGTGCTCGGTGCCTCCTCCCAGGGCTGCTCCGGGGGTAGGTATGGATGCCTGAGATTTACTGCGCCTTTTCTGTAGCCTCTTCGCCACAGAGATCTGGGCAGCTCCACCTGTCCAACATCAGAGGATGGATGGACGAGGCTGATGTGTGTGTGGCAGGGTTTTAACGCGAGTTTATGGGAAAAGAACTGCGTGAAACGAAGGCTCTACTCCACCCATGACATCACTGACTTTTTCAAGTTCATGTTGTCCCCAGCTCGTGTCCCAACTGTTGCATCTCATTTGTGGCTGTAGCTGAGACTAAAGCTGATATTATGACAAGATACCTGAACTGTCTGAGATGTACCTACTGTACATTGGTGGGGGATTCTCTGTCAATGCCCAATGATGTCATTCTATCTTAGCCTAATTATTATTCAGCTGTTCTTCACACTGCATACGCCTATAGATAATACAGTATAAACAGGAAAATAGATTAAATACTAGTTTTTATAGTATGTTTTGTGTATTTTAACAATTTTACAGGGAAATGTATGAATGATATTAAGAAAAAAGAGAATAAGATTATCAATATGTATAGGCAGCTGTGGTTTTCTATGTTTAACAGCTAAGTCAATAGCTTGATGGATTGCACTCTCCTATATGTTGAGTGGCCATGCCCAGTGTCCAATGCAAAGTGCTGTGTCATTCTGAGCTCTCTCCCTCCTGTAACCAGCCTCCTGCTCCCCACTTCCTCCTGCAGCTTGTCCACTTTGCTTAATGTGAACACGGGCGGTAATTGTCCGTAAAAGATGCTGTTTACTTCATCACCCGTGGAGAGTCGGTGCGCCATAAGTATTGTGTGTCATCAGCCCTAGACGTCTGGCTTTGGCTTGTGTTGGCAGTCACAGTGGCTTACAGAGCTGTGCAAAACGATTTAGGTGACAGTGAGATTCAGGCAAAGATTATATAGAGATAAAGTATGCTTTTGATTTGATTTGGATGTTATATTTATGTTTAGCAATTACACAAATCAAAGAAGACATTATGCTTTGTTGTTGGCATTGTTGAGGCTAGAAACACTACCAGAAGATTGTAAAAAACGTAATTTCACCTAAGAAATTGCCAAAACTAATTTAGGGGCACTTTTGCTCTGAGCGTGATGTCATGGTGGTACAGTGACATCACACAAGTCTGAGACAGGAGCTTTGAGACAGAAAGGATCTAAAAACAACTCTAGTTTTTGATTAAGAACTTGACACATGGTTAAAAGCAAATAAAAGTCGACTTTGAAATTATGTCTCCTCTTAAAGATGTAATTAATTGCCTGGATTCGTAAAGTCACACTTAGTCCAATTGAAGCAGTCTCCGGGGGAACTGCGGGATAAATACTTTGTGGAGATATAATCATATTAATCAAACACACACTGGTTCAAGCAGGTGGGATCTGATCTATTCCACACAATGTACATAGTGCACGGTAAATAGACAAACTTAGAAATGATTTGATCCACAAGAATAATTATTTAATAAGGTACATTTCTCTCAAACCGTTTTGCTTTACATTAACCCAGGACATAATATGGGGAGACTGGGTTATAAAGCCTATATTGTCTAACATATTGACGTCTGCACCATTTTCACTGCATATTGTTGTCACATTCATTTGATACTAAATTGACTACAAAATGCTATTAGGTCATACTGTGTGATTCTATAAAGACTGCAGAATGAAATGATCATGTGTTTACGGTATTTTTAATCGCTTGAGCTATATTTTGGTTAATTATTGTTCAACAAGCTTTCGATATCCAAACAAATCAATTATTATACTGCAGAATCAGCAGAATTACTATTGCAGCGACACATGGGCTGCAATAGTAAAACTAACCTGTGCTGATCAATCCAACGCTTGGAAGAGCCAACATCAAAGAATGAGAAACTATGATCAAATCTTCAAAATCATTATTTACAACCAATCATTTATTATAGGGGTCAAACTGTAACAAAGGAAGCTGTTGCATTCAATAAGTCTTGCCTCTTGCTTTCACATAGACACCTATAGACACTTACCTCTAGTACATCTTTACATTTTGTTTAGATTGTATTAGACAAGGAAGTGAATACGCTTGGACCTCTTTGGCTCCTGGAGGAAGCCAATGAGCTGGATGCCTCAGCTTTAAATTCTTTGTTTTTCTTTTGTATGGCACCCAAAATAACCCCTTGTACCTCTTTTTAGAGTACATGTATACACACATACTGTATATATTTGTGGACAATGCCTTCGTGTTAGTGCATGAAAACAGCGGTGGGTTCAGAGCAGGTGGGATGGACCTGTTGACTCCAGGAGCGAATGCTTACTCAGCCCTGTAACAGCTTGTTGTTGGCCGCCTCAGTGACAGTGGACAACAACACGGCTCACCTCCCAGGACGAGCGAGGGGCCGGAGGGCAGGGGAGAGATAGGGGTCCTGTATGGGACAAAGTGCTCGACCTACAGCGCTGTCTTTTCCCAACGTCTTATCGTGCTTCAAATCTGCTGCGCTGGTGTTTTCCGTGATTCTGAGAAAACTGCCATGATGACTGCAGCAGAAGGGACTCACTATAGTGTTGGAACGGAGCCTAGTTTTATTACACAGGTGTGGAGTTTAATTAAAGCGATAAATAACAAGGACACACAAGTAACAAGACACTATCCGTTTCCTATAGACACTGAATGCAGCACTGTCTCTCAAACTGTGGTGCTAAAACTATTTGGGGGGGGGGGGGGGGGGGGGGGGGGGGGGGGGGGGGGGGGGGGGGGGGGGGGGGGGGGGGGGGGGGGGGGGGGGGGGGGGGGGGGGGGGGGGGGGGGGGGGGGGGGGGGGGGGGGGGGGGGGGGGGGGGGGGGGGGGGGGGGGGGGGGGGGGGGGGGGGGGGGGGGGGGGGGGGGGGGGGGGGGGGGGGGGGGGGGGGGGGGGGGGGGGGGGGGGGGGGGGGGGGGGGGGGGGGGGGGGGGGGGGGGGGGGGGGGGGGGGGGGGGGGGGGGGGGGGGGGGGGGGGGGGGGGGGGGGGGGGGGGGGGGGGGGGGGGGGGGGGGGGGGGGGGGGGGGGGGGGGGGGGGGGGGGGGGGGGGGGGGGGTGGGGGGGGGGGGGGGGGGGGGGGGGGGGGGGGGGGGGGGGGGGGGGGGGGGGGGGGGGGGGGGGGGGGGGGGGGGGGGGGGGGGGGGGGGGGGGGGGGGGGGGGGGGGGGGGGGGGGGGGGGGGGGGGGGGGGGGGGGGGGGGGGGGGGGGGGGGGGGGGGGGGGGGGGGGGGGGGGGGGGGGGGGGGGGGGGGGGGGGGGGGGGGGGGGGGGGGGGGGGGGGGGGGGGGGGGGGGGGGGGGGGGGGGGGGGGGGGGGGGGGGGGGGGGGGGGGGGGGGGGGGGGGGGGGGGGGGGGGGGGGGGGGGGGGGGGGGGGGGGGGGGGGGGGGGGGGGGGGGGGGGGGGGGGGGGGGGGGGGGGGGGGGGGGGGGGGGGGGGGGGGGGGGGGGGGGGGGGGGGGGGGGGGGGGGGGGGGGGGGGGGGGGGGGGGGGGGGGGGGGGGGGGGGGGGGGGGGGGGGGGGGGGGGGGGGGGGGGGGGGGGGGGGGGGGGGGGGGGGGGGGGGGGGGGGGGGGGGGGGGGGGGGGGGGGGGGGGGGGGGGGGGGGGGGGGGGGGGGGGGGGGGGGGGGGGGGGGGGGGGGGGGGGGGGGGGGGGGGGGGGGGGGGGGGGGGGGGGGGGGGGGGGGGGGGGGGGGGGGGGGGGGGGGGGGGGGGGGGGGGGGGGGGGGGGGGGGGGGGGGGGGGGGGGGGGGGGGGGGGGGGGGGGGGGGGGGGGGGGGGGGGGGGGGGGGGGGGGGGGGGGGGGGGGGGGGGGGGGGGGGGGGGGGGGGGGGGGGGGGGGGGGGGGGGGGGGGGGGGGGGGGGGGGGGGGGGGGGGGGGGGGGGGGGGGGGGGGGGGGGGGGGGGGGGGGGGGGGGGGGGGGGGGGGGGGGGGGGGGGGGGGGGGGGGGGGGGGGGGGGGGGGGGGGGGGGGGGGGGGGGGGGGGGGGGGGGGGGGGGGGGGGGGGGGGGGGGGGGGGGGGGGGGGGGGGGGGGGGGGGGGGGGGGGGGGGGGGGGGGGGGGGGGGGGGGGGGGGGGGGGGGGGGGGGGGGGGGGGGGGGGGGGGGGGGGGGGGGGGGGGGGGGGGGGGGGGGGGGGGGGGGGGGGGGGGGGGGGGGGGGGGGGGGGGGGGGGGGGGGGGGGGGGGGGGGGGGGGGGGGTCAATTCCATTTAGTGTTATTATTATTTTTGTATTACCCAAATCACAACAGCAGTCGTCAATTTGCCAACAACAGAATAAAGAATCAAACAATTACCACATCCATGCAATAATAACAAACACAGACAAGCCATTATAGGGAGCAGGATGACCAAGGTCTGTGTTCATGAATGTTCCTAAAAACACAAATCGTCTTTATTTATACGACATTTCATGAACAAAAGTGTTTGCACGTGCCACACGTCAGTCAGCAGTAGAGAAAAGAAAAGAGGAAAAAATAGCAGCGTGGGCAACAAATCAAATAAGAGCAGTGACATCAATTAAATAAAATAGTTAGAAAATGATAAATAAAAACTAAAATAATAAAATGAAACACAGAGGAACACACAACTCAAAAGAGGGTTTAGTTCCATAGCTTGTGTTGAATGACAATAAAAGTCCATAAATCTTAATAAATGTGCATAAATGTACCAGATCATCACTGTCCTTAGACCCTCACATCTGCAAGGAATGACTCACAAGAAAAAATAAAAACTTGGGGAGGACAGACAGGCTGTAGATCCAGGACTGAGGCTGTAGATCTAGGACTGAGGCTGAAGATCCAGGACTGAGGCTGAAGATCCAGGACTGAGGCTGTAGATCCAGGACTGAGGCTGTAGACCCAGGACTGAGGCTGTAGATCCAGGACTGAGGCTGTAGATCTAGGACTGAGGCTGTAGAACCAGGACTGAGGCTGTAGACCCAGGACTGAGGCTGTAGACCCAGGACTGAGGCTGAAGATCCAGGACTGAGGCTGTAGATCTAGGACTGAGGCTGAAGATCCAGGACTGAGGCTGAAGATCCAGGACTGAGGCTGTAGACCCAGGACTGAGGCTGTAGAACCAGGACTGAGGCTGTAGATCCAGGACTGAGGCTGTAGACCCAGGACTGAGGCTGTAGATCTAGGACTGAGGCTGTAGACCCAGGACTGAGGCTGTAGATCTAGGACTGAGGCTGTAGAACCAGGACTGAGGCTGTAGACCCAGGACTGAGGCTGTAGATCTAGGACTGAGGCTGTAGATCTAGGACTGAGGCTGTAGATCCAGGACTGAGGCTGTAGATCCAGGACTGAGGCAGTAGATCTAGGACTGAGGCTGAAGATCCAGGACTGAGGCTGTAGATCTAGGACTGAGGCTGTAGATCTAGGACTGAGGCTGTAGATCTAGGACTGAGGCTGTAGATCCAGGACTGAGGCTGTAGATCCAGGACTGAAGAGGCTCCCAGGCCTCCCAGCCATACAGCCCATGTCTGATATCAATGGTCCATGTCTGATATTATATATTATATATTATGGGATTATGGAATGTAATCTGCTCACTTTATTTTAATTTAACATCAGCCTGTTTTCTAAAAGCATTAGGAGGAGATCAAACCTCGTCCTGTTTGACGTTGGGATTAGTATCAAGCATACAGTACAAATCTGAGCCCGACTTCAGTTCACTTTGGAGAGACCCAAGAGGGAAAATGCAGTTAGAAGTTTGTTGATTGAGTATGTTTGGCGCCCTAGGCCCGGGAGAGATGCTGATGAGTGCGGCGCTTGCTCGCGCGCATAATCCCCCCCCCCGGGGCCTAGGCACTGGTGACGGCAGAGGCAGTAGGCAAGCACGCTTCGATGAGAGAAGGAGGAGGTGGGGCGGCGGAGGCTTTGCAAACTTCAGAAGGCCGGAAAGTGGGCGTCTCCGGCTTTTAACTTGCTGTCCTGGTGGTTATTGGTGGATTAGATGTGGGCGTTTTGCTGGTGTAATGAGTAGAGGATGAGCAGGCTTGTAGATCTGGCAGCAGTGGCCGGGTCTACCACAGTGAACTTTCGCGAAGAGCTTCATTTCACTTTGGAGAGACCCAAGAGGGAAAATGCAGTTAGAAGTTTGTTGATTGAGTATGTTTGGCGCCCTAGGCCCGGGAGAGATGCTGATGAGTGCGGCGCTTGCTCGCGCGCATAATCCCCAAAAACGGGCAGAGTTATCTTTGCGCGCCGGGACGTGAGCGCTCGCTTCACGATCAACCGGACGCTGCCTGGGACGTGAGCGCTCGCATCACGATCGATACCAGACGCTGTAGCAGAGTTATCTTTGAGCGCCGGGACGTGAGCGCTCGCATCACGATCAACCGGACGCTGTCTGGGACGTGAGCGCTCGCATCACGATCGATACCAGACGCTGTAGCAGAGTTTGTCTTTGAGCGCCGGGACGTGAGCGCTCGCATCACGATCAACGACGCTGTCTGGGACGTGAGCGCTCGCATCACGATCGTACCAGACGCTGCGGTGAAGTTATCTTTAAGGGCCGGGACGTGAGCGCTCGCATCACGATCAACCGGACGCTGCCTGGGACGTGAGCGCTTGCATCACGATCGATACCAGACGCTGTAGCAGAGTTGACTTTAAGCGCCGGGACGTGAGCGCACGCATCACAATCAACCGGACGCTGCCTGGGACGTGAGCGCTTGCATCACGATCGATACCAGACGCTGAAGCAGAGTTATCTCTGAGCGCCGGGACGTGAGCGCTGGCATCACGATCAACCGGACGCTGCCTGGGACGTGAGCGCTCGCATCACGATCGATACCAGACGCTGTAGCAGAGTTGTCTTTAAGCGCCGGGACGTGAGCGCTCGCATCACGATCAACCGGACGCTGCCTGGGACGTGAGCGCTTGCATCACGATCGATACCAGACGCTGTAGCAGAGTTGTCTTTAAGCGCCGGGACGTGAGCGCACGCATCACGATCAACCGGACGCTGCAACAGAGTTGTCTTTGAGAAAGTGCGTGCCGCCACCAGAATCTTTATTGGATCACTTACTTTGCTTTGTATTGCTTTGCTGGGAGCTTACGAAGAAGCCAGTAGCCGTTGTGCAGCCAAGATGGCGGACGCGTCTGGCCTGATGTAGGTGGAGAAAGCCGAAGAGGACCAGCGCCCCAGCTGTTGCAGAGAGGTGTGGGGGAGCCCCAGCGAGGCCGCGCGCGTGGCAGCGCCTATCCTGAAGGAGTGGGCTGTGTAGAGCTGGGGAGACAATTTACAGAGGAGCAGTAGGGATCTTAGTTGAGCTCTGAACCAGGTTGCTGTCATGGGAAGAATGTCTGGAGTGAGAAAGAGAGGTCCGTTAAAATTTTTTTGCAGCGGAGGCGAGTGTAACGCATCATGGATTTGTAGGGGCAGAAAGATGTGTCCGAGCGAGCTATTACTATATTGCAGGCTCCTTTGATCTTTGAATGTTTGAGATGAAGGTTGAAATGGTCAGGGGACATTATGTTGGGTGAAAAAGAGCGACCTTTGTGTAATGCTTCCACTACGTCGAGATTATCACACATGACAGAGATCCTCTTTCTCTGCCACGTGTGATTCCACAGCGCGCAGGCCACGACCACTGGGAATATCTCGTGTAGGGCAGAGGAGATGCTCCGGTGGAAAGTAGCGGCCACGCTCGGCAAACCAATGGTCCTGGAAGAATCCCCCAAAACCCACGGAAGGGGCAGCGTCCGTGTAGAAGCGGAGACCTGTAGGGGCAGAGACATATCGGAGAGGGCCATTGATGTTGCAGGCGCCCTTACGCTTAGGTTGGAGAGTAGATAATCAGGATAGTAGGATGGTCGGGAAAGCCGTGTCTCGGACCGCATGAAGGTTGAGTGAGCAATGGTGAGACGCTTATGCAGAGAAGCCATAGAAGGAGAGCAGGAAGATGCTGCGAGGAGGGCAGACATGTACTTGGAAGATGAGCCGGAGTTCAGCGCCGCTGCAGGATGGGCAGCATGATGGGGAGCCTGCGATCAGAAGAGTGAAGAATACAGGTATGGATGCCTTTGATTAGGAGTCCGATTGACGGCTCAGCGCAGCTACTCGGCCAGCTGCATCTGATAGAATCAGAAGATTAAGTAGAGAGATGAAGCATGACCGCCGAAGCGACCCTGGGAGCATAGGTGCGAGTCCAGCGCAGCGCGGCATGCTCAGCCGGGCTGCGTCCATTAGAAGCAGGATAAGCTTCTGAGAGAGTGGGATGCAGCAGTAGCAGTAGCAGCAGCAACCTCAGATAATAACGGCAATAGTCCTGTATCAAGCCGCGACAGTAGCAGCAGCAGCAGCAGCAGCGTCCTTAGAAAATAACAGTAATAATTCTGTACCTAAGCCACAGCAGTAGAATGTTGTTGTAGCTGTTCAGTGTTTCAGTAAAAGAGATGCAAGTGAAGAGAGATGGCAAAGTAAATGAAGCAGCGGCAGCAGTAGTAGCAGCAGTAGCCGTATGAAGCAGCAGCAGTAGCAGTATGAAGCAGCAGGAGCAGTTGCGGCAGCAGCAGCTGCAGCATCCGTAGATAATAACAGCAATAATCCTGTATCAAAGCCAGAGCAGTAGAATATTATTGTAGCTGTTTAGTGTTTCAGTAAAGGAGATGTGAAGTGAAGAGAGATGTCAAAGTACATGAAGCAGCAGCGGCAGCAGTAGCAGCAGTAACGGTAGCAGTATGAAGCAGCAGAAGCAGCATTAGCAGGAGCAGCAGTAGCAGCAGTAACGGTAGCAGTATGAAGCAGCAGAAGCAGCATTAGCAGGAGCAGCAGTAGCAGTATGAAGCAGCAGCAGTAGCAGCAGTATGAGGCAGCAGCAGCGGTTGCAGCATCCGTAGACAATAACAGCAATAATCCTGTATCAAAGCCACAGCAGTAGAATATTGTTGAAGCTGTTTAGTGTTTCAGTAAAAGAGATGCGAAGTGAAGAGGTGTCAAAGTAAAGAAGCAGCAGCAGCACGGCAGCAGTAGCAGTATGAAGCAGCAGCGGCAGCAATAGCAGCATTAGCGGCAGCAGTAGCAGCAATAGCGGTAGCAGTATGAAGCAGCAGAAGCAGCATTAGCAGGAGCAGTAGCACCACAATGCGATTCATACGAACAACAGACGTGTCACGCCAGCGTGCGCCGCTTGTCTCCGTGAGCCAGGTTACATACGTGTCTGAAAGAGCCAAGCCGTAGAGACAGGTGCCGCCCGGGAGCCCGCGGAGCGGCAGCGGCAGGAACAGCAGCAGCGGCACATGTAGTAGTAGGAGCAGCAGGAGCAGGCAGCAGGAACAGGCGGCAGCAGGAACAGCAGCAGCGGCACATGTAGTAGTAGGAGCAGCAGGAGCGGCAGCAGGAACAGGCAGCAGCGGGAACAGGCATCAGCGGGATCAGGCATCAGTAGGAACGGCAGCAGGGACCGCAGCAGCGGCGGTCAGAGAACCATGCCCACGGTTGTTTAAGAGCCTGAGGAAATAATCAACCCGAATCCGAAACATTCCCATGCGAAAAACAGATGTCCCCTGGAGCCATCTTGCTGCTTTGGTTATGGCAGATACGCATGAACCATCACTTTTCCATGCGTTCATTAGCTCCAACTCCACTTCAAACCCATTGCAGATTCACATTGGGCCCCTTTTCTTTCTGCTGCACTTTCGAAATGCAACAACTGCAGTTTAGTTACCCAATTTAATACTAGTGACCTAGCTATTTAAATGCATGGCCCCTCCTTCCTCCTGCAGATAGACGAATTTAAATACATTCATTTAACAATAGTGACCTGCGAGTAATGAGATTAATGCTGTAAAAAATGGCGCCGTGGCAAGAGTTCTGGTGTGTGCCGTCTGGAGCACGATGGGTAGTCTTTGCACATTTTTTCCAACGTGGTTTTACTGCAAGTGGCAGAACATGAATCTGAATTGATGCACATTGCTCCTCTTATATCCCTCAGACATTGGAGATTGATGCCATTTAAGATGCATTGTCCCTCAGTTAGCTCAACACGTGTAAAACGGAGCCTGCAACCAAGCACGGGGCGAAAACTGACGCCTGCAGTCAATTGCGTAGGGCAAAAACCAGTCGCCTGCAGCCTAGACTCCGGGATTAATCTGTCCGTGGTCGGCACACTCACTGTACTCACATGCCAGGAGACTTGGGAAAGCAACGGGACAACGCGGCACCGCCAATCGGAGCCAGGGACACGCACGGCACCAGCAGACCACGAGGAACGAGCAGCACAGAAACCGCGGAGGGCCCCGCGGAGCAGCCCGCAGAAGAGCCCGCAGAGGAGGAGAGCAGACCACGAGCAGCCAGACTGAGGACAGCCGGGCCACGCGCACGAGCAACACGTGAGCAGAAGCGACCCCTCCAGAATCCAGAACAACGCATGTATTTGCGAACAGGTGCGTTAGCGACATGCACCTTGCAGGCTTCAGAAGTTTGCAAACTTCAGAAGGCCGGGAAAGTGGGCGTCTCCGGCTTTTAACTTGCTGTCCTGGTGGTTATTGGTGGATTAGATGTGGGCGTTTTGCTGGTGTAATGAGTAGAGGATGAGCAGGCTTGTAGATCTGGCAGCAGTGGCCGGGTCTACCACAGTGAACTTTCGCAAAGAGCTTCATCTTTGAAAGACTGAGCCTGGAACTAAACACACAGAGACTCACCAGAAGAACCAAGTGCTTTTGTTTCACAATGATGTCAGGAACAGAGAATGTTCGGACTTTTGTCATTCTAACCAGAATTTTAATAAATGATGTGAAACTCTATAATGTTGGAGGAATATGTTTGTGCTGGCACTTTTACTTTTACAAGCACACCAACCCAGTGAGCATTAGCAGCATGGAGATGTGTGGGCAGTAAAAAGGCAGCAGCAGAACAGTCTGACTCAGGGAAACTTCAGGCATGATACAGCCAAGGCACTTTCTTCAATTATATACAATAATTTGTAACAAGAGCTGGGCCTGGTTTGACTGAAGCTGTGGGCGAGGCGCCTTTCCATGCCAAGAGCAAGTCGAATTCAGGAGCCATTTTATGACAATAATTGATTATTTTTCTTTTTTTATAATATAGAATGTTCACTCACATCTGGGAGTAATTTACAATAGTTGGATTTGTTATTATATCATAGTTCACATTTTAACATAACATTTTGACAATTATTCTGTATTTTTCTCACCCTTCTAATTTAAACAAATGTTTAAATATTTTTTAAACAATATTGTTTTTTAATCATTCCAAAAATATATCCAACAGCAAATTCCTGACTTCTTAAACTTGAAATTAGGTAATAAATTATAAGCCATGATTTAAGTCTCAATCATAACTTGTTTTTGCATTTTCTTCTGTAAAAAAAAAGTCACAAAAGTTAGTTGTGACTGTTGATTGTATTAAACATTATTCACACATTTTAATAGTAATGAATACACATTTCCAACCGCCTTCAGTCCAGACTCCATTATGTGTTTTCTAAAATGTGATTCATCTGTACTTAATACTCTTTTTTTGTTTTCTCCAGACTTTCTTGACCAGTTTATTGCCATGACATCAGTACAGACTCCACCCCTCTCTCGGTCTGGCTCCTCCCCCTCAGACGTGGGCTTGACCCATCGCACTGGCCCCTCTGTGACTCCGCCCACCTCCCTCAGCCTGCGCTCGTCCTACAATCAGCTGCTCGGGCGCGACGTCATCAGGGAGTCCCCCACGATGGAGACCGGACGTTCAGCCACGCTTCCAAAGAGCCGGCAGAGGTACGCCATGACCAGTGTCCGCAGCGCCATGGCAATCAGCGACAACCTGGGCACGGTAAAAAACCAGAGGGCGAGAGGTCTGCCAACTAAGTCCTCTTCGAGCTCTTCCCTCTACTCCTCATCCTCTACTGCGTTCAACTCGGCCAACCCTAAACTAGTGAAGAACGGAGCCAACATGCAAAGACGAGCCGAGAGCCAACAGATGGAGCTGAGTAGAGCCACCACAGAAAGCAAAATCCACAACGACCTCCTCAATAACGCCAGTTCTGATTGGCTGGATAACTCCCAGCCTTTTCGAAGAAGGACCAAAAGCTTCTTGGGTTATCACACAAAGACTTGGGACGTGGACAACAACTGCGGACACAAAGAGGAAAAGGAGGAAGAGGAGGAACAGGAGAACAAACAGTTATCGCCTGAAAAGGAGCAAGCAAGTCCCAATGAAGAGTGTGAGATTCAGAAAGAAGAGAAAGATAACAGTAAGGAGGACTGCCAAGAGGAAAAAGATGCTGTAGAAGCAATAGTGGAAGAGGAACTCGAGGCAACACCATCCCCAAGACAATCGGTTTTACCAGTAGTGGTGGAAGCGCCTCTGTCCTGCACCTCCTCCAGCAGCAACAGCCCTGAGTGGGTTCCAGATAACCAGAACCTTCTCCAAAATCAGCCCAAGATCCACCTACACAATGACATCCAAGCTCCTCGCAGTCCAGCCAAGCCCTCGCGCACCTCCTCTCCCCGGGTGATCAAGGTCGAGCTGCACCCCAATGATGAGAACCAGTTCCAGCAGCAGTTTCCTCTCACGTCGTCCCCGAAACTGCAGCGGAGCGGAGAGAGGAGCACCCCGACGAGAATTGCAGTGCCCTTTGTGCTGCCCGAGCCGGAGTCAGAGACAGGGCTGCCCCGAGTGAGCCTGAGGATGGATCTGACGCCTGATAGTCCATCAGAGGCCGAGGATTCTAGTTGGACCACGTTGTCCCAAGAAACTCCCTCTCCACAGACTCCTCATGACACAGGTTAGTAGTCAGTAAGTAAGTACAGTCATGCACCCAAAGTTTTCATGATAAGACAAAAGTGTAAAAAAGCTAGTTCTTCCACCTTCATCAGATGTAATACTTTACACTAGCCTTTTTATAATAACCTTCTTGAACGTAATATACTTTTCCAAATTTTCATAATTTTATTTGCATTATTTATCACCCCCCAAAAACACCGCACAAGCCTTTTGGAGCGACCGACACCCCACAACGATGCCCACACTGGATTTTGCTGAGACATGCGCTGAGACCCAACATTTACTCAAAAAGCACACAATTTGCTTGTGTTTATTAGTTTTGGCGACTTGATCAACATGGCATAGGACTGGCATGGTTTGACAATGATACTAGACTTAACATATTTATGTCCAACAAAATCCAGGCCATGTAGAGGATCAAGACATACTTACATACAATCCAATCTAATTCCAGACTTCTCCACATTCAGTTATTTTCTTTTATCAAAATGAACGGGTAATACAACATTAATTAAAAAGTACAATAATAATAATAATAATGAATGAACAAAACATACCCTTGTTTATATTAATTACTGACTTATTATTTGGCCCTTTCAAGTCAAATTGACAGATTCGAACCATCTCTGATTATTTGCTTCTTTTTTTTTTACTTTCCCATATTGTACCTTTTGAAAGTTTCCATTTATTTCCTCCATTTCTTTCTTTCTTTTCTGGAGTGTAGACGTGTGCTCCCTCCAACAGTCTGATGTGGAAATGTACCAAATCCTTTGCTTCATGACAAACAGGACACTATAGCTGCAGCAGACACCTTTAGGGCCCCAGTGAGAGACCTGCTGGTGCAGAGAATGATTAACATGGGTGAAGGGCAGGAGACTGCGGAGCGAGGAGAGGCAACCAGCTCAGAGCTGGTTTTAGGAGACTTCAAACACCAAAGACACATGAATAAAAGTACTATTATAAAAGAGAAAAGGGAGAGCCCTTTGCACAGATGGAAAAAGCTGTGTTTGGCCAAACCAATTCTTGATTAACCTTAGAAAACCCTTGCTGATTGAAGATTCAACTACATATTACAGTTACGGTGGAAAAAGCTCTCAAACGCATTATTTATATACATGGTCAGACCAGAACGGCTCATGCAAGAGTAGAACTGCCTCTGGTTTTGGTGTAAATAAGGAAGTGGTTCTCAATCAATCTACATGGATAAATAAGGATTTAATTATCATAATTTACAACTTTTTAACTGGAAAAAATACTCCTACTTACTTTTCATCAAATTCAATTGTAGATAGTTTGGCCTAAAGCAAGGAATGAAGATCCTCAACTTAATGAAAGAAAGTCCAGATACCTTACATGATGCTTCAGAGCCTGGTGAGCAGTGACACTGGTGAATGTGTTTTCTGCAGATGTATGGAGTGAAGGGGACCTGCCTCCTGGCTGGAGGGAGATCTCAGACTCATCAGAGGTCTATTTCTGGCATGTACCCACCGGTACCACTCAATACCACAGACCTGTTGCCGGTAGCAACGAAGACTCCTCAACGAACAATGGTCCAGACAATGAGCCACAGCAACAACCACAGGACGCACTCAAACCCAACGAGGTGAGTGTGTGCTCACTCAGTGCTCACTTAGATATGACCAAGAAAACTCTAGAACACATGTGTCAAAGTCAAGGCCCGCGGGCCAAATCCGGCCCGCGAATGAATTGTACATGGCCCGTTCCCTGCCATTGACGCACTATTACGTCAATTGCGTTTTCCGCTATTTTCATGTTCCCAGATGTCTATTATATCTAATATGTATGGGGATAAGCTTGAGAGCATATTGAATCGAGCCAGCAGGTGGCAGCAGCGCTCTCTGAATGGTTTGAAAACAGCTAGATGCACTTGTTGTGCCTCTTTTTTCTCAGCTTTTTGGTGATTTCAGTAAAACTTCCCTCTACTCAACTGGGGATTACAAGCTAGAAACAAAATTGTTTTTGCTGATGAAAGTAGACAGTCTATTTTTTCAGAATCTGGTTTCGGATTTCAGATAGTCATAGTACACAATATTCTGTGGGTTTGAAAAATCAATAAAAATCATCAGTAACTGCTGGAAATATGGGAGTACCTGTTCTGAAATAGGCTGGCAAGCAATGAGTTAATAAACATTGAACCAGTCCGGCCCTCGGCTCGCAGCAAATTCGTTTTTTTGGCCCTCTGATGTATTTGACTTTGACATGCCTGCTCTAGAACATTTATCCATTGTAGGACAAGCTGCAGTGTTACTCACACCACACTGACGTGTCCGTGTTTGTGAACTATTTATTCACTCAGTCTTCTCATTCACAAACTGTACAAAGACTTAGTAAGGTGGTAAGAAATAGTTTATTTCTATTAATTGGTAATTATTGCATTCATTCCCAGTTGGACAAATTAGATCACATTAAATCACACTGTATGTTTGAGCCTTTTTCCAGGAGAGTTGTGTTAGTTTCTCCTGATAACTAAAGCGAACACACAGAAACTGCTGTAAAGTGTTCCTTTATGCTTCCCAGCGACCCAGCAGCCTGATCTCTGACAGCTCTGTGGAGCGCGTGCCCTCGCCCTCCCCCTCATCCCCCTCATCCCCCCTGCATGACATCATCTCCTCTGGACCAGACCTCAACCTGCCCACCTGCACAGCCATGGTAAAAAACACTCACACACCCATGCACACACACACACACACACACACACACACACACACACACACACAATTGTAGATACATCTGATGAAATTAATAAGGAAAAAATACTAAATATTAAAGACTATAATAATTAACTATACAGAATATATATGTTGAGCCAACCCCTGTACTGCTACACTTTAACTTTAAATGGACAATGGCCTTGCAATTTATTCACAGGTAATTCTCTCTTTTGATGTTTCAGGACCTGAAAGACTATCCAGTGTATACAGACCCAAGCCTCAAGGCCTTTGAAGGAGCCACACTACGTTATGCTTCACTCAAACTCAAGTAACTACATTAATAACCGTGCATTAACTTGGATTCATAGCCTTCTTTATGGATGTTATTTTTATTATGAATGTATCTCTGCAGCCCTCCAGCCCAGCTTGAGACTGTGGATCTGGACAGCACCTATTCAGACTCAGAGGCAATGGTAAGGTCAACAACATTTGGAACATGTTTTTTGAATGTTTTCAGTCTATTTCACATTGCACATTACTACCACTTTATCCCATGAACCGAATAACTTTCAACAAATGATAATTTCCCTGAGGGCAAGAGAAACAGCATGCAAGGTGTTTGTGTAGGATGACGTAATGAAGCTGAGTAATGGCTCTGTGCGTGTGTGAAGCAGCGACACTCGGAGGTGACTTTGTGAACTGCAAGCATAAGGATTTACTGCCCTCTAGTGCTTAAAAAGTGCACAACATTGAGCTGTACGTAGATGCATGGGGGCTTTGTAGATCTGTAGTTGACCAAAGACATTCTCGGCTTAGACTCTTTAGTATCTGATGTAAACTGGCCTCACAAGACCTAAATTGTCAGATGAAAAAACAACTTTTTAGGCATATAATAACTAGAATATTTTATAAACATGAATTCCTCTTGTGTTTCAGAGTTTAATTTTCTCCAGGCCTTCTTGTTTCTGCAGCATTCCCATATATATGATCATTAACAAATATTATATGATATTATATGATCGTTATGTTGTTAAAGTCAATAGTCCTTTCTAATTTCATTCATTTTGAATCACTTGTGTTCTTGGCTATAGCTTACTTAAATAAAAAACAGTAAATAGAAAATAAAGTAAGTGTCTGTGGAGAATGGAGAATGTAATACCGTGCTGTGACAGATTCAAAGAGACAGTAGCTCAGTGGGAAGAGCGAGTTTCCTCTGGTCTGAAAGTTGCTGGTTGGAAACATCATTGGTCGAGTGGTCAGATGGACTGACCCGCAGGTTGGCAGGTGTGAAACCAGCTCCCATTGGTGATTGCTGTTGTGTGTCATTGGTCAAGACACTTAACTCGCCTCGCCCCCAGTGGCCCTGTGCACTGATGCATTAATGTGTTTGAGAGTGGCTGATTGGTTCCTTGGTGTATAATGCTTTGAGTACCTTGAAAAAGTAGAAAAATTACAATTTATCATTTACCCTCCTCCTGGACAAATACAAGTCAGGTCTGTGGAGATGCTCACTCACAGTCCCATGTTTTTGTATTGAGTGGACAGACGTTATAGTTTCTGAAGTAACATTCTCCATTCAAAATCCCCATAGGATTTGTATAAAAGACTAAAAACATGTTAAGGGGCTGATTTGTTGAGTAATAACAGCAGAAACTACATTATTATTTACATTATGTTAATAGAACATTAAACCACAAAGTTAAGCAAAACATTAAAATGTAATGTTTCTTTTTATTCTTGTCAAAATATAGTCATGTTGGCAAAAAATTGTTTGACATTAAAGCATTGTATTTCCTGTAGTCTAATAAAGTATGTATCTTCTTCATGGTCAACATTTAGTGCATTATGATGATTCAAAATAAGGCCTTTAATATTGTGTTTTAATCATGAATTTCAATACAAGCGATTTGTCCTCTCTGAATCTCTCTCTAGATAGACAATAAGTGAATTTCTACAATACTAGTCATAGAACATTTGAATCAGGAGAATGTGAGAGTCTATAGAATTGCATCTCCTGCTGGATTGGCTGCAGAGTGTAATCCAGTTTTTGGGCTTGACTCTTGTGGAGGACTTGAAAGCTATGTCCCGTGGTTCTGCTCAGCGGGGAGGAGCAGCTCGTTGTGGAGAGGGAATGGAGGGATAAGGATGAGGGCGCTCAGGACGCACAAAATACACACAAGCCCTTTCATATTTTATGCCCTTTCATATTTTATGCCCTGTCCTCGTCTGCCCTGCTTCTGTCTGCACCGGCCATTTCCATTTTCACTCACAACGCTTCAAACACAAAAAGGAGAGTCTCAGTATGTTTGAGGATTGTGTTCAGAGGCTTGGACTGAGATACATTTACTGAGCCGGTGATGTTAGTGAATATTCTAATTAAGATGGATTATTTTTTCATATTTAAATTGATAATTGCAACAACAAAAAATCCCACATTCACTGAATTTTTGGGATCTGTGGTCAGTGAATGTGGGACTATTCATACATGTGACCCAAACCAAGCTCCAGTGGTGCCCCAGGAGAGACAACAGAGAGATGACTTGTTAAACATTGGGTTGTTTGAGTACAAAATTATAAAACTAATCTTAAAATAACACATCTTTATCCATTTTATACTACCCCTGGTGGAATGAATAGAAAGGCTAGTAAAAGTATTCTGAATCTGCATATGTAAGTTTAAAAAAACAATTGATCAATCACTCAATTAGTTACCAACTTTTTCAAGATTTGACTGGTTGTGATTAACCGATTCAGTTGTTCAGTTTCCTCTGAACAAAGAGACATTTAATGTGTTATTTATTTGTTTTTTTATTTTTATTTTGTACACGTTTTTGTTAAACTTTATGTTGATTGTGTTGTTAATGAACACACATATCCATTGTCTCCAGTTATTGAATCCATCACGTTGGCTGAACCAGTAGGATTTGTTCAGGGGTGATGTCAGACTTTCACTCGTGCATGGACCAACATTCGTGTACAGCTTTCTGACATTGATACACGTTTGTATTGTTGTTAGTATGTTACTGCTGCTCTCCCTCACTTGTTCTTGATCATTATTCTCCTTCCCTTTTACCGCTGCTTACCTAAATACACATTTAATATGCATGAAGTACACGATACATTCAGCATTGCTGGGATATAATTTATAATTTACTGGGCTATTCTATCATTCGCTGCAGATATACTGTTTGCTGGAATAAAAACATTGAAAAAATAGAAACTAATGTATACCACAAAGCAATAAAGCTTTAAATGTGCAGTATAATGGAGAGGCAATACTTAGCAGAAAGGTCTCATACTTGGCCATAGTTTAAAAACTGTTTTCAACCATCTACGTGTAGGTTCCTGCCTTTGAAGTATTTGCTTAAGATGTATTTATCCATAGAGCAGACATTGCATTTCATAATAATAATAAGAGTAATAGTAATAACAATAATGGGTTGTCTTTTTATTACACTTTACATTTGAGGCTCAAACAAGTCTCAAAGTGCTACCATGAATACAAAAGCATGTAAAGGCATTCTTGTGTGGTCCACAGTCGTTCCCTGTGCGCTCGCTGGGCTGGGTGGAGATGTCAGAGCAGGATCTGTGCGAGGGCCGCAGCAGTGTGGCCGTGCACCACTGTATCCGACAGCTGTCCTACTGTCGGAGGGACATCCGGGACTCCGCCGGGGTCTGGGGAGAGGTCAGTGTCATCCACAAACAAAACTATTACAATATGGTGCAGACAGGTATTACAGAATACTGTACATCGAGATACATTTGAAACACATTTAACCAACTTAACCAAATAAACGTTGAAATATGATATTAGAAGTCTTAAAGACTAAACAGATGATTCCAACTCTACGGTTGTTGGCGACCCCCTCAGTGAGCCTCGCCACTCGTGAGATCTGTCCTGATAATCTTAAGTCTCAGGATGTCTTGACTGACACGTATCTGGAACATCGTGTGATGATCGGGGACAATACCTTTGAATTGGCAGACCTGGCAGACCTGGCTGGGACAGAGTTCCTCTCTTTAAGAAGGGGTGCCTTCAGAGTGTTCCAATTATCTCTAAAGACTCCTCTGTAAGCCGTCTCTGTTGAAAGCCGTCCGGTCCCTGTACGACCGGAGCCAGAGCTGCGTTCGCGTCGCTAGCAGTAAGTCAGACCTGTTCCTGGTGCATGTTGGCCTCCGCCAAGGCTGCCCTTTGTCACCGGTTCTGTTCACTGTATTTAAGGACAGAATTTCTAGGCGTAGCCAGGGGCCGGTTCGGTGACCGCAGGATTCCTTCTCTGCTGTTAGCAGACAATGTTTTCCTGTCGGCTCCAACAAACCAGGACCTTCAGCACTGGGCCGTGTGTGAAGCGGCTGGGGGAAAGCCGCCTCCAAATCCGAGGCCATGGTGCTGGGATGGTGCTCTCAGTGAAGGCAGACTGAGCCGATCTTGTTTCTGCTCTGACTGCAGCCTTTGTGACCTAGCAATGGATAAAGCAAACACAAATGGATGAATGAAATAATAGTTGTTATCATTTGGTGACAGGGTAAAGGGATGCAGCTGGTGCTTCAGGACCGGATGTTGACGCTGGTTGATCCCGACGACTGCAGCCTCCTTCACTCTCAGCCAATCAGCAGTATCCGCGTGTGGGGAGTTGGGCGGGACCATGACAGGTAATTAGGCCTATTTTGTGTACCTGCTTTATTCATTACTTTCGTGTTTAAGCTTAATTTATATCTTGCTACATAATTAAGAGTGCCAGTAATGACCCCACTCCACAGTCTAATGCTGTAAACGAGAGCAAACAGTGCTGATTCAGCAGTGAATAAGTGATGAGAGGCTGACAACACTCATTATAAAGTAATAGGTATTTGCAAAATGGCAGTAGAAAGACCATAATTATGCCCGATGCTGTTCAGTTTCCATCTCCGCCTTGGGCCTGAGGGGCTGCCACTCATTTGGCTTCGTCCCAGTCTCCAACCTCCTTACTCACATGTTTGCTGAGGCTGCATTTGCATAACATGTGGAGGGCTGTGCTGATACAACATGCTCAAGGTTTCAAACTCTGTAAAAGTTATGCATCATGATGTCATGATGGTGCTTATAGAAAATACTGGAAAACAAGCGCAACACACACAAACATCAGCAGCATTACAGGCTGAACATAATCAGGCTGAACATGAGTGATCCCTGTTGAAAAATAGGCCAGTAATTTTGACCAAAAATTTTAATGCATACTAATACACAAGTATATAGTGTATATGTATATGTGTATGAGTATGTATAAGTACAGTATGTATACAGTGCCTTGCGAAAGTATTCGGCCCCCTTGAACCTTTCAACATTTCGCCACATTTCAGGCTTCAAACATGAAGATATAAAAATTTAATTTATTGTGGGGCGTGCAATATTATTCGGCCCCTTTACTTTCAGTGCAGCAAACTCACTCCAGAAGTTCAGTGAGGATCTTTGAATGATCCAATGTTGTCCTAAATGACTGATGATGATGTGTAATCAAGTCTCCGTATAAATGCACCTGCTCTTTGATAGTCTCAGGGTTCTGTTTAAAGCGCAGAGAGAACCATGAAGACAAAGGAACACACCAGGCAGGTCCCAGATACTGTTGTGGAGAAGTTTAAAGCCGAATTTGGATACAAAAAGATTTCCCAATCTTTAAACATCTCAAGGAGCACTGTGCAAGCAGTTATATTGAAATGGAAGGAGTATCAGACCACTGCAAATCTACCAAGACCCGGCCGTCCCTCCAAACTTTCATCTCAAACAAGGAGAAGACTGATCAGAGATGCAGCCAAGAAGCCCATGATCACTCTGGATGAACTGCAGATAACTACAGCTGAGGTGGGAGAGTCTGTCCATAGGACAACAATCAGTCGTGCACTGCACAAATCTGGCCTTTATGGAAGAGTGGCAAGAAGAAAGCCATTTCTCAAAGATATCCATAAAAAGTCTCGTTTAAAGTTTGCCACAAGCCACCTGGGAGACACACCAAACATGTGGAAGAAGGTGCTCTGGTCAGATGAAACCAAAATCAAACTTTTTGGCCACAATGCAAAACGATATGTTTGGCGTAAAAGCAACACAGCTCATCACCCTGAACACACCATCCCCACTGTCAAACATGGTGGTGGCAGCATCATGCTTTGGGCCTGCTTTTCTTAAGCAGGGACAGGGAAGATGGCTAAAATTGATGGGAAGATGGATGGAGCCAAATACAGGACCATTCTGGAAGAAAACCTGTTGGAGTCTGCAAAAGACCTGAGACTGGGACGGTGATTTATCTTCCAACAGGACAATGATCCAAAACATAAAGCCAAATCTACAATGGAATGGTTCACAAATAGACGTATCCAGGTGTTAGAATGGCCAAGTCAAAGTCCAGACCTGAATCCAATCGAGAATCTGTGGAAAGTGCTGAAGACTGCTGTTCACAAACGCTCTCCATCCAACCTCACTGAGCTCGAGCTGTTTTGCAAGGAAGAATGGGAAAGAATTCCAGTCTCTCAATGTGCAAAACTGATAGAGACATACCCCAAGCGACTTGCAGCTGTAATTGCAGCAAAAGGCACTACAAAGTATTAGCGCAAGGGGGCCGAATAATATTGCACGCCCCACTTTTCAGTTTTTTATTTGTTAAAAAAGTTTAAATTATCCAATAAATTTTGTTCCACTTCACGTTTGTATCCCACTTGTTGTTGACTCTTGACAAAACATTTAATTTTTATATCTTTATGTTTGAGTCTGAAATGTGGCGAAATGTTGAAAGGTTCAAGGGGGCCGAATACTTTCGCAAGGCACTGTATCTACAGTTTTTGTCCAACATGTTTTAGCATCCTGTAGTAATGAGTTTGTTGATAAATTGTCTATTATTATCTCTCATTTCCATGTAGTCATCTCTTTTGTTTCTCTGGATGAAGGTGCTACAGTGATACACAATTTAAAAAGCAACTTCCTCTTATATGTTCATGTTGTTAAACTAAAAAAGCTGTTTTGGAGGAAGTGTAGATTTGTCCATTTTGCATCTCTGTGGCACGCTTTCCCCATTGTCTTAACCAGTGCTGACAAAAGTGCGGTCCGCGGCCCCCTGGGGACCCTCAGAGGCACTGCAAGCAGGTCTCAAAAGCCTTTTCACACAACCTGCAGTTAGGAGCGAAAGGAAATATAAAGACAAATTGGTGTAAAAATAATCAAACAAATATTAAGTTTACTACCTACACGTCACATCGGGTCAAACTGAAAAGACGTGACCAACTGGTTGAATGAGAGAATTTCCAGTAGTTTCCATCAAAGCAAAGAATGACATGTCCCCAGTACACTGTCCCATTTCTGTCTGGAATTAGAAATCTGTGCTAAAATGTTCATGAGATTGGATTTTAAAATGGTGTAATTTGACAGTCCACAGACGAGTGCGATTGCAGTGGCTGAAATAGTGAATTAAAAAAAAAAGTTGTCTCCCCCTCCGTTTGGCTGGGTTTTCTTCAGAATATTTTTTCAATGCCTTCTTCTCTCCAACTTTCCCTCTTTTAAGCGCTGAATTTAGAGTTTTATGTGTTGCCATGTCAACCCCTCAGACTTGTTCAGTATTTCCTTCAGGACTAACCCACCTCAGCATTAGCCACTTATAAATTCTGAATTTTCAGTCTCTGAGGATTTTACAATGTGCAGTGTTTTGGTTTTGGTGGTAATAGATAAAGTGTGCAACGGGAACGAAAAAATGTGATGCAATTTTGGCTCAACTTCAGTCTCTTTTCCTGCATTTTTCATTGGTTATTGCATTTCCCCACTGACATCTTTCCTCCGTGGGGCGAATAAAGGTTCTCTTGTCTTTTCTGATCAAATTACTCGGCTACATTTACAATAGAAATCTATTTATATTTTTTACTTGGTGGAACGCAGGGCTGTGCAACAGATTTTTCAAAGCCATTTTATTTTAACCAAAAATCAATAGTCGGTTTAGACAATTGCCTTAACTTAAATACTTCTGACTTGGCTGGCATTAAGAGGGCACTAGAGGGATTCTAGTCGTAGAGCTACTTTAGAAATCAGAGGTGAATTTGTGGTATTTAAAGGAGACATATACTGCAGAATCGACTTTCAAACAGACTATGAGTTGTTTTTCGATCCATCCATGCTAAGATCAGACACTCAGACACCTAAGATAAATCCTGCAGCTTCAGTACTTCTGACCGAGCCGAGCATCAACATTTGGAGATGGTCCCCAGGCGCTGTTACTACGGCGACCACTTCTGATAGATGCCCTTGTAGCATCAGGATGGGTCAAATGCAGAGGATAAATAAAGTGCACCTTTACCTTCTGTCAAAAAGCTCCTGTCTCAGTCCTGCAATAGCTTGATGTCATTGTGTCTTCTGTTGTTGAACAAAAGCATTGCCCATAAATTAGTAAATGACATTCTTTGCTTCAAGTATTCTTTGAATCTGTAACAATATATTTTACAGAATTTCTTTAAACTGAAAAAAGTGTTGACTCTAAAGCAGCTGTACATGTGTCTGAACAGGAGGAAAATGTAACAACGTAATATAAAGTATCAAATAAAGAACAGAGGGCACACCTAAAGCAGACTCAACAAAAATCACACACGACATGGAAATAATCCACGTACAGACAAAAAAGAACAACACATTGTCTGGCTTTTGAATTAACAGTTAGTATTTTTTGCAGCAGGATTTCTGACCACAAGAGGGCACTGTGCTCTAAAGCTGTTTCCACTGATAGACTGATATGTTGTACTTCAGAGCATCAGCGGGTTTCTGCCTCCCTGCTTCTTCTTCCTTTACCCCCAGTGCGTTCATGTGTCAGAGATGCTCTCTTACACAGTGTCACAGACGCAGTGAGTGGAACGACGACAGCCCGTATTGAACTGGATAATCAAGCACTTTTGAAAAACACGCTAATTAAGAAAATAGTTGATTCTGAGAAAATCCATTGCGTTTAGCATACATCTTGATGCAGCCTGGCTTCGTATCCATCACTCCTTTCGCGGGCTGTCTCCTTATTTTTCCATTCACTTCTAGGCATGTCCTGGATGCCCCTTTCCATGTTGCTTCCTCTAACCTGATCCAATATAAATGAGTGTCTCCAAAGGGGGGGAGATGGGGGATAAGCCGGGGTGGGGGTGAGGAGTGTTGGATGAAGTCATGGGGATATATCTGGAGCACTCAGCAAGTCTGTGGTGCTATAGTGTGTAGAGCATGTACAGTGATCTAAATATATATCTACTGGTTTATATACAGGGGTTCACTTTCTCTCCAATATTGTATCATTGTATGTCACATAACGTCATCCAAACATTACTCTGATGATACGGCTTCCTGCTTTCTCAACTTATTTAGTTTTGACAGAATTGAATTGTTTTGAATATTGCAGTATGTGATTAGCCCGAAATTACATGCACCTTGTTCATTTGTGTCTTGTAGTTTAGTCTGATCTTCTTTAGAGTGGCGCTATTTTGGTCTGTTCTGTTTTGTATTTCCCATTCTTCATTGCGAGACTTCAAAGGATTTCACTTTTTTCACTGCATTATCTTCAGTTTGGGTTGTGTTTATGGAGTAGAATTGCATTTTGAAGTATTGATACAACTCTATGGGAAAGAAGCAATTATTATTGTCATTATCTGATAATCATTGGATTCACAAA